CCTGCTCCCGTGAGGATGAGCACGGCAGCAGGCCATCTGCCTAGGTCCCCAAAGCCCTCAGGAGCAGCCACAGCTTCGCTTGCCCGGCGCACGGGCCCGGGGCTGCTTTTCTGCCTGTTCCCTGCTGTTCCCCTCGCTCCTGGCCAAGGCTGCAGACCACTGCCTCCAGGGCTGGTGAGGCCAGGCCGAGTCCCCAGCTGCTCCCGGTGTTCGGTCGCAGTCGGCCTGGCCCGAGGCGCCCTTGTTGGCGGGACTGGGCTTCTCATACCTGTCCTGGTGGGGAGAGGGGTGGTCACAATGAGAGGAGCGTGTACCTAGGACAGCAGACACCTAGGAGTGGGGGGTTTAATGGGGGTGGAGGGAGGGATGGCAGGCGAGCAGGGAAGGTGCTCCTGGTGGAGGAACCAGCCTGTGCAAAGGGAAGGCCCCGGTAAAGGACCCGGTGGGACTGGTTTACAGCGAAGCGGGGGGGTCTTCAAGGCCTAGGGCTCTCGACTCCAGGTAGAAGCCGGGCAGCGGGAGTGACCGAGGTGGTGGGGTTCTGCCGTGGTTAGAGCGGGCCCCCTGCTGCCTCTAAGGTGGTCCCTGGGCTGGAGGAAGAGGCGGGCGCTAGTGCTCTGGAATGTTGTTGGGGGGGGGGGGAGGGGGGGATGGCCAGCGCTCCTTCAAGGTGGCAGCTGCCGCGAGCCAAACCGAGGCCAGGCTTTGTGAGTTCGCCTTGGGGGCGACTTGTGCGGGGCGCTGCAGGGCCCCTGAGCTGGCTTCCCGCAGGGCGTGCCTGCCTCGGCCTGTGCAGCTGGGGAGGGGGCAGGCGCTCCTGCGGACACCCGCTGCCCGGGGACCCAGCTGTAGGCGAGACGCTGGCCTGGGGCAGCCAGCAGCGTGGCCACACGGTGGCAGCAGAGAGCCAACTGTTAACTGCAGCACTCCACCCACCCACCCACCCCCCCCCAAGGCGAGGACAGGGTGACTAAGTGTCTGGAGGCGGATACAGGTCCCAGGAACCCGTGTCTCGCCCTGGCTGGCATGACTCAGTGGTGAGAGCGTCAGCCTGCACGCAAAAGGGTCGCAGGTTCGATTGCAGGTCAAGGGCTGGCCAGGGTCCCGTGCGGGAGGCAACCAGTCTGTGTGTCTCCATCCATGTTTCTCTCTCTCCCCTTCCCTCCCACGTCTCTGCTCCAGGCGGAGAAAGTTTCATTCGGTTATGCCCTGCCCCTGCCTGACTACCTTTAGACACGGTGCCTGCGGAACACGGGAGCCATGTGGTGATTTTCCAAGCTTGCGTACTCATTTCCAGCCGATTCTGGTTAGAGGAGGGAGTGCCTTTTATGTGACCCCAGGTACTGGGTTCCCCGGGCCCTGGGTGTGGCCACACAGGTGCTCCTTCTGCTCTCTGTCACCATGTGCTCAGCGTGGAGGCAGAGTCCAGCACTAGGAATGGGGGAAGGGGTCAGTTATCCAGAATGAACTCTGCCGGGGTGGATGGAGCATAGCGTCTGTGAGACCCCAAAAATGGGACTGGCACTGCTTGGGCCAGGAAGGCTCCCTGGAGGAGGAGAAAGGGGAAGGGTGCTCCTGGAAGGAGGAGCAAGGAGGAGGGGCTGGGCGGGGAGCGGAGATTACAGCTCCTCCGTAGAATTCTGCTGGGCTGCGGGCTCCTCCCTCCCACTCCCCTCACTCTTCAAAGCCCTGGTGTTGGCGGCAGAGCAAGGACCACGGGTCACCAGGATGGAAAGCGCCACGTGCCTAGCAAAGGACAGTTGTCGGGGGGCCCTCTCCCCCAGGTGCCTTTCCCTCCCCTCGCACATCGCTGGCTTGGACCCCCTGACCTTTTCTCTCTGGAGATAGAACGTCTAGGCCTCAGTTGTAGTTCAGCTCCAGGCCCGATAAGCAACAAAACCAGCTGACGGTGAAGTCAGGACCAGCTGCATTGGCGAACCACCCCTGCGGGGAAAGGACTCCTGGGAAAGCTGCTGAATGCTCTACCGAGATATTCCAATGGGACCTCCTGTAGCATCTCCACCCTTAAAGCCCTCAGGCCCAGGCCCCAGGCCGTTCCCTTTCTCTTTTCCTTCCCTCCCTCCCTCCCCCTCGCTGCCCCGGGCACCTTACCATCAGCTCCCTCACTCCCAAGCTCCTAGGGCCCTTCCTTTACCGCAACTCCTTTCCTGAGCTCATTTCTTCTAGGAATTATTTTTCTCCCTCTATGACTCCAAACAAATGTTCTCTTACGGTTTGGGTCTTGGCTCTGAATTCTTTCCTAGCCGGAACCCAAGACCGAGGTGGCTGCACCCGGGTTTGGTCCCACCCCATTGGCGAGACAGACCCAGGACTCACAGGTCCTCAGACCAAGGCCATCCTGCGAGTTTCCCCCACCCTCCAGGGTCCAGGCCCCCATGGCTGAGGGGGCTGCGAGGTGGAGGGTGTCCCCCAGGGCCCCTCTTTAGTGTTAGGGGGGGACCAGTGTCAATGTAAGAAATGTCCAAACCTATAGAGAATTTTTATGAGTTTCTTTGAGCCAAACTGATGACAATTGCCAGGAAGTAAAATCTCAATGGATTGAGAAAATGCTCCAGTAAATGGCAGTTTTTCAGCTTATTTTATACATTTAAAATGTAAACACAAGAAATGACCAAACCCTGTAAGAATTTTTGAGTTGATTTGAGCCAAACTGACAATTGCTGGGAAGCAAAATCTCAATAGATTGTGAAAAAAAAAAACTCAATGGATTGAGAAAATGGCAGTTTTGCACTTTATTTTAAATATATTTTTGTTGATTTCAGAGAGGAAGGGGGAGGTAGAGAGATAGAAACATCAATGATGAATCATTGATTGGCTGCCTCCTGCACGCCCCTTACCGGGGACCCAGCCCACAACCAGGGCATGTGCCCTTGACCAGAATGGAACCGGGGACCCTTCAGTCCGAGGGCAGACGCTCTATCCACTGAGCCAAACGAGCTAGGGCGCACTTTATTTTATACATTACAGCTAAAGGAGGAGGCCATGAAATTCATTGGTGATAGATTAGGGAGATGGGAGGAAGCAAAGTGGGAAATCTCTGGAATGGATGAAGATACGATGAAGAGGCTAATCCTCTTTTACGTTGGTGGGTATAGGACAGTTAACAATGACCAGGCACAGCACATAGGGAGGGCGACAGATAACAGCGAGGGGTCTGTAGTCTCAGCTCTCCCTCTCTGTGAGCTTGTGCCCTGAGGGGTCTGGAGAAAGGGATTACTCAGACCAAAGGTATGTTCTCTTAGGTGCAAAAAGAAAACAGACTCAGTTAAGGTCAAGATTAACCTTCCTCAAATATACGGGCCTAGGACAGGACACCATCATGACTCACGGTTAGGAAGTTCTCATTTCAGACCATCCTTGTAGTGACTTTTGGCCTCTGAGTGTGTGAGGCCACCATGCAGGCCTCCCCTGAGCTTGCCAGGGTTAGTGTGTGGCCCCCTTTCCCCACAAGAATCAAATGAGAAGTGGTAGGGAAGGTGACATGAAATCCATTGGTGGCAGATTAAGGGGGACGGAGAAAGCAGAGACACAAACTTCCTTTGTTTTCTTTTTGGAACCCTCACCCAAGGATATGTTCTTACCGATTTTTTTTTTTAGAGAGAGAAAGGAAGGGGAAGAGAGAAACATCGATCAGTTGTTGAAACCCACAACCTAGTGTGTGCCTTGATCTAGAACTGAACCCGCAACCTCCTGGTGTACAGGATGGCGTTCCAACCAGCTGAGCCGCCCACCGGGGCCAAACTTCTTTACGCGGATAGTTAACAATTCACGTGTACAGCACACAGAGCTGGTGTTTGGGGAACCAGCTCACAATGGGGTTCTGGGGTCTCGTGCTCTGTGCTGTGGCTGTGCCCTGGGGGGTCTCAGATGCACAGAGACAATGGACAGCACCACTTCCGGGAAGACTGACCTTTGTCAAGGCAGCTCCAGGCCTAGGCTGTGACTACCCACCATGACCCACTTCCAGTGGGAATGTTTATATTCAGACCATCCGATGTGCTTACTTTCAGTCTCTGAGTTTGTAGGGCCCACCCTGCTGGCTATCCCTGGGCTTGTCAGGCCAGTTAAGGGGGGATAAGGGGGAGAGGGGAGGAGGCTGAGGTCCAGGTGAGAGATGGCAAGAGCAGACCTAAGTTACCTCCGCTCCCCCCACCCGCCCTTACATCCAGTCTGGAGAGAGAGCTCTGGGCTACCACCTAGTGAGACTACATCCTCATTAAAAAAAAAAAAAAAATATATATATATATATATATATATATATATATATATATATATTCATTTATTTCAGAGAGGAAGGGAGAGAGGGATAGAAACATCAATGATGAGAGAGAATTATTGATTAGCGTCAGAGGAAGGCCAGCATTGTTTCCTGTCCCATATTACAGCCTCCACACCCTGAGGCACCCATAGGGGACCAGAACTGGGGTTGGGCCTCCACATCAGCCCCTCCTGGCTCCACTGTCCAGCCAGCCGGCCTGGCCTCCCCGGGTAACCCCTCCGTCTACAGGTGGGCAGGGTGCAGCCCACCTTCCTCTGACCCCATCCTATTGCTGACAGCCCAGGGCAAGCCAGGAAGGAGGGCCCCTGCCCACAGAAGATGGGGTCACTCCGGGGCCCCTCACCTCTCTCCTCGATCCTTCGCCCATTACTGGTCTCTTCCCCACACGGTGGGTTCCCCAGGCGCTGCCCGGGAACCAGCGTGGAGGGTGTTGCTGTAGCAATGGCAACCTAGAGAAGAAATGAGTCAGGGGGTCCTCGAAACCTCACCGCCCCTCCTCCCTGCCGCCCAGGGCCTCGGGGCCGGGATGGGCCGGCTCGGGCCCCTTACTGCTCCAGGCCATCCGGGCGCAGCCAGCCCCCGGCCGCCGGAGCAGGACGTCCCAGGGCCCCGAGAGCCGGCGGGGCGGGGCGGCCCGGCTCCCCACAGGCCCCGCCTCCGCCCCGCCCGCCTCCGCGGTCTCGGAGCCGGCAGGGAGCGGCCGGGCGGCAGGTGAGTCCACTTCCTGCGCGGCGGTGGGTGTGCCCCGGCGCCAGGTGCCTTGATCCGCGGCACGGCCGGAGGGGGAAGTAGCGCAGGAGCCCAGGGCGGGGATCCGGTGCCCGCGGGCTGCCAGACCTGCGCTGGGCGCCGGCCCCAGCCCACGAGTCTGCGCCCCGCCGAGCCCTTGTCCTCGGGGATCCCCGCCGGACCCCAGCGCCGCCTCGATGGAGCTCCGCCCGCCGCCCTCGACCTCGCTGTCGCTGCTGCTACTGCTGCTGCCGCTGCTGCTGCCGGCGGGGCCCGCGGCCGGCGGCTCCTGGCAGTGCCCGCGCATCCCCTACGCCGCCTCCCGCGACTTCGACGTGCAGTACTCGGTGCCCCGCTTCTCGGCCGGCGGCCCGGTGCAGGCGCTGGCCACCTACGAGGGCGGCGAGGACGGAAGTGCCGTGTTCGTGGCCACGCGCAACCGCCTGCACATGCTCGGACCCGACCTGCAGCCCCTTGAGAGCCTGGCCACGGGCCCCGCCGGCGACCCCGGCTGCCAGACGTGTACGGCCTGCGGCCCGGGCCCCCACGGCCCACCGGGAGACACCGACGCCAAGGTGCTGGTGCTGGACCCGGTGCTGCCCGCGCTCATCAGCTGCGGCTCCAGCCTGCACGGCCGCTGCTTCCAGCTGGAGCTGGAGCCGGGCGAGACGGCCCCGCACCTGGCGCCGCCTGCCTGCCTCTTCGCCGCCGAGCGCAACCGGCCCGCGGACTGCCCCGACTGCGTGGCCAGCCCCCTGGGCACCGTGGCGACCGTGGTGGAGCAGGGCCGCGCCTCCTACTTGTACGCGGCGTCTTCGCTGGACGCGGAGGTGGCCGCGCGCTTCAGCCCCCGCTCCGTGTCCATCCGCCGATTCAGGGCCGACGCCTCGGGATTCGCACCCAACTTCGAGGCCCTGTCGGTGCTGCCCGCCTACCTGGCTTCCTACCGCATCGAGTACGTGCACAGCTTCCACGCGGGGGACTTCGTCTACTTCCTGACCGTGCAGCGGGCCAGCGTGTCCGCCGCGCCCGGCGTCCTCCACACGCGCCTGGCCCGGCTCAGCGCCGTCCAGACCGACGTGGGCAACTACCGCGAGCTGGTCCTGGACTGCCGCTTCGAGCCCAAACGCCGGCGCCGCGGGGCGGCCGAGGGCGGGCAGCCCTACCCGGTGCTGCGGGCAGCGCACACGGCCCCCGTGGGCGGCCGCCTGGCCGGCGAGCTGAGCGTCTCCGAGGGCCAGGCGGTGCTGTTCGGCGCCTTCGGGGCCGGCAGAGGCGGCGGAGGCCGCGCGGGCCCCAGCTCCGTGGTCTGCGCCTTCCCCATCCAGCTGGTGGACGCGCTCATCGAGGAGGGCGTGGAGCGCTGCTGCGAGGCGCGCTCCCCCCAGGGCCTCCGGCGAGGCCTCGACTTCTTCCAGGCGCCCATTCTGTGCCCCAACCCGGTGAGCAGAGAGCAGGGGCCCTCATCTGAGAGCGCCGTGCCCGTGGGTGAATCCCGGCCGCTTCCCTCCCACCGCCCGCGGGTCTGGGAGCCCGAGGCCGAGAGGAGGAGTTTTCTCTTCCACCCAACCCCTGAGTGCTCGGGGCGGTGAGCGAACTAGCCGCACAAAGGCCGTGGAGGCGCCTCTGCCTGGCCGGGCTGCCTCTGCTCCCACCCCGTTCTGCTCTGCCCTCACCTACCACCGCCTCCGATTTCTTAGGCAGTTTCCCTGGTTATGTGAGCACTGGGTTGCATCCTAGCCATCTCTCCGTCAGGCACGCTGCCAAACTGGGTAGAGGGATGGGCTCCCGGCCCGCTGGCCCGCAGGGACGGACAGCACCCTCCCCGCAGGGACAGACAGTACCCAGACAGGCCCTGCTGCACCCAGGCAGATGCGCACAGATGCACAGGGGCTCAGCGCTCCCAATAGTTTCACTTTCCCTCGGGGAGCACTTGTTTTGTTCTGCAGGAGTGGCCGACCGAGCCCCTCCCCCAGCTCCTGGGCCTTGGAACTGCCCGGGCTGGGACGTTGGGGGGTTTGTCAGGGAGTCTGCAGGGCACTCTCATCCGGATGGATTGTTCTCCGTGGGTGGGGTGATTGCGGGAGGCCCCGGATCTGGGGGGTGGGGGGAAGGTGGCTTGGCTCTAGTTAGTCGCTTCCAGGAGGCTCACCCTAGTCTTGTGCAAGCAACTGTAAACATCTGGGGAGGAGTACAGACTTAGAAGGGGCTGGGGGAACTGGGTCGCCACCAGGATTCTCGGACACTTTCCACTCTAGTTGGGCCCTGCCGGAGCGAGTCCCCCTTCTCAGCCCAGGCAGGAGGTGTCCCAGCCCAGGCTGGGTTCTGGGCTCCTTCCAGCCGACCCTCCCCAGGCTCCCCAGCCACGTGTCGGGGAGCTGGAGCAGAGACAAACAGCCCAAGCTGATTCCTGGGAGCCATGGAAACAGTCCACCCTCCGTTATAAGGAATTAAACCAAGGACACGGGTGAAGGGTCCCTCAGCAAGTGACACACAGGCACTGCCCTCGCAGCCTTTGGCTGCCCTGTGGCCCTGGCCTTGTTGCGACATCACCGCTGACTCCTGTCCGGCTCCTGTTATGGCCCAGAGGTGGGGGGAGCTCTACACGAGGTGGGGGTCTTCAGCCCCCCTCCCCGCCCTCAGCTGAGTTCATGGAGGTTGAGGAGGCCTAGGGCTGGGGCTCCCTCGTTTGGGCCTGACAGCCCTGCCTGCCCCCCTCCTCTTCCGTCTGCGGAGCCTGCACCTCTCCCCAACTGGGCTAGCGGCCAGTGGACCAGAGAGCACCCAGCAAGGCCTGGCAGTGCCTGGCTCTAGGCAGCCTAGCCTACAGCCCTGCCCACAGGCTGGCCGGCCCCTGGGAGGTGTGTGAACCAGCTGGCACCATGTTTGTCCGTGACTGGGCAGGCACCCTCCAGGGCAACCCCCCTGCTCACGGGGCTGGCCTCGGGAAGCCGGGGGCTCGGCGCTGCTGGCTCCCCTCCCTGGCCCCAGGAGCCACGGGCCACCGGACCAGCCTGGGGAGCCAGAGCTGAGGCGTGGGGAGCCAAGCAAGCAGGCAGGGGTGTGGCCCCACTGGAGTAGGGCCTCTTCCCACCCCCCCGGCCCCACCCGTCCCTGAGTCATGCTGGAAACACCGAACTGACTTCCGGTGAGGAACGGGCCTCCCGTTTCCTTCCTCAGTGCGGACAGAGTCCCCGTCCTCACCCACCAGCAGCAGACCCAGCTCTGCACCTGCTCGTGCCCCCCCCCCCATCAGTGCTGAGGTCTGATGACTGGGTTCCGCATCCTTGGTCTAATGGAGACTTCAGGGGCTCCAGCCTTGAGCGCCCCCGAAGCTAGCCGGGTCCCAGGCAGCTAGGATGACCGAGCCCTTGCCTGCACTTTGCACTCAGCAAACACCTTGCATTCACACCCTGGCTCCCTGGTTTCCCAGAAGCCTCTGCAGCCCTGCCCTGAGTGCAGCCCCAAACACCCTCGTTAAGAGCAGGGAGATGTTAGCGCCTCCGGCCCCTGGGACCGCGCTTGGCACCCGGGCCTTCTGACCCTGGCTTGTCTGAAGGAGGCGCAGGTAGCGCTGAAAGTGGGGGAAGCCCCCTGGAGTCTCGGGGAGAAGGACCATGTGGCCACCTGTGTGGACAAGTTAACCCAGAGTTCAGCGCCCTCAGCTGGTGGAGAAACCCCTAAGAGGGGCCGGGCTTGCTGAAGTGCAAGGCAGAGCCAGCAGGGGGCAGGAGAGGACTCTGCTCAAGAGCTCAGGCTTCCCACCTGGCCCACCAGGGCCTTTAGGTCCCGCCTGTTTCCTTGTGTGTAAGGCCTGGGGAGTGGTTGTGGGGAGAGAATGGGGTTGGGTCTGTAGGACTCAGTACTCACTGTCAGAATGGACATGATGGGGGAGGGCCAGGCATCGGGGGAGCTGGCCTTGCTGCCTCTGAGAGCTCCCCCGGGTCAGCGGTGTGTGTGGGGGAGGTCGGGGCGGGGGAGGGGGCGGAGTGGCGGGCCTGGGTCTCCTCCAGGCAGGCCAGGTGACAGCCCGAGCTCGGGCTGCTGTGGCCCCTGACAGGCACTGTGTGGGATGAGCCCTGACGCCTTCCCCGGTTCCCCCAGCCGGACCCCACGGCGCCCAGCTCCAACGGCAGCTGCTACCACTTCCCTCTGCTGGTCAGCAGCAGCATCCCCCGGGTGGACCTGTTCAACGGGCTGTTAGGACCGACGCAGATCACCGCGCTGCACGTGACGAGCCTGGACAACGTCACCGTGGCCCACATGGGCACGAGCGATGGGCGCGTCCTACAGGTGGGCCCCCGTCTCCACAGCCCGTGCCCTGCATCCTCCTCCCCATCCCCATGCTGCTCACAGCGGTCCTGTCCCAGGTGGAGCTGGCCCGGTCTCTCGGCTACTTGCTGTATGTCTCCAACTTCTCGCTGAGCAGCAGCAGGCAGCCCGTGCAGCGGGATGTCAGTCGCCTTGGGAACCACCTGCTCTTTGCCTCTGGGGACAAGGTAAGGTGGGCAGGGGCAGGGGTAGGGCCCGGCGCGAGAGAGGCACTAACACCCAGGTCTCACCACGCTGCTCTACAACGGGACCAGGGGCTCCCAACCTCCTCCCGTCGCCCCAAGCCACCTTTCTGCCACCCCAAGGTCTTCCAGGTGCCCATCAGAGGCCCCGGCTGCCGCCACTTCCTCACCTGCGGGCGCTGTCTGCGGGCACAGCGTTTCATGGGCTGTGGCTGGTGTGGGAGCATGTGTGGCCAGCAGAAGGAGTGTCCTGGCTCCTGGCAACAGGACCACTGCCCACCTGATCTTATTGAGGTATGGCCTGCCTGGCCGGGCACAGGTGAGGGTGAGGCAAGCTGGGCCTGGGGTGGGGGCAGCAGGTCTTGACCATGACCTTCCTCGGGCCCGGGATGTCCTTAAGGAAGGCATTCTGGTGGCACGTGCAGATTTGGAGGCAGAAAAGTGATCGGGGACTAGCCATGACTTAGAATGAATGGAGCGGGGCGGGCGAGGGGTGCGGCAGGGAAGTTGGGGGCAAGCAGCCGGGGCTGAGGGCCTGGCCCACAGAGGCTGTCTGCTCCCCCTCCAGTTCTATCCTCACAGCGGACCCCTCCGGGGCAGCACCAGGCTGACCCTGTGTGGCTCCAACTTCTACCTGCACCCTGGCGGTCTGGTGCCTGAGGGCACCCACCAGGTCACCGTGGGCCAAAGTCCCTGCCGACTGCTGCCCAAGGACAGCTCAGACCCCAGGTACCACGGTCCCCCGCCCTTCCTCTCCTCAGGGGGCAACCCAGCGGCCCCTCCCCTTGAGCCCTAGCCTTTGCCTGTGGGGCAAGGAGGTCGAGGCAAGCTGCGTGTGCCCTGGCGTCATGGAGCGGGCAAGGCTGGCCTGCCGCCAGGTCCTCCTGCCCTGGAGCCGGCGGTGGGCATGCAGCCCGGCCCGTGTGACCTCTGGCTGACCTTGAGCTCCGGGGGCTCTAGCCCCATGTCCTGGAAGGGCTTCATAGAGGAGCTTGCGTGTGAGCTGCAGCCCCTGGGCACGCAGGCAGCTGGGCCTGCCAACGTGAGCCTCACCGTGACCAACATGCCGCGGGGCAAGCACTTCCGGGTCGACGGCGCCTCCGCGCTGCCCGGCTTCTCTTTCATGGTGAGGCCGGGTCTTGTCTGTGCCCTTGGCCGCTGGGCAGGGAAGGGCTGGGAGTGGAGGGTCTCCACCCGAGCTAAGCCGCCACCACGCCCCCTCAGGAGCCAGTGCTGAAGGAAGTGCACCCCCTCTTTGGCCCGCAGGCCGGGGGCACACGCCTCACCCTGACGGGCCAGGGCCTGTCCATAGGCACCAGCCGGGCCGTGCTGGTCAACGGGAGCGAGTGCCTGCTGGAGGGGTGAGTGCCGGCGGCGGGGGGCGCGGAGGCCACCGGGCCTCAGGGCAGAGGGAGAGCGGCTCGGTCACAGGGTCAGGCCCAGAAGAGGTGGTTTGGGGATGGCAAGAGAGACCATCACCAAGTCCCCTGCCTCCAGCCAAGGCTGTGAGGAGCCTGCTCCCGCCCTGTCTTCTTGGGGTCTGACTGGGACCGCCCGTCTTTGGACAGACCCGTGGAGTAGAGACCCCTGGAGAGTGGCCCTGACCCAGCCCCCCTGTCCTGCAGGGTCAGCGAGGGGCAGCTTGTATGCACCACGCCACCTGGTGCCGCCCCGGCCAGCGTTCCCGTTCGCCTGCAGGTGGGGGGCACCCCGGTGCCGGGCGCCTGGACCTTCCACTACCGGGAAGACCCCGTCGTGCTGGGCATCAGCCCCAGCTGCGGCTACAGGTAGGTGCCACCTCCTCCCCCTCTGGTCAGGAGCCGCCCTCAGAGCACCCCAAGCCCACGGGCCTGCTCTCCTCCTCAGTGGCTCCCACGTCACCATCCGTGGCCAGCATCTGACCGCAGTGTGGCGCCTGGCGCTGTCATTCCATGACGGGCTTACGGCCGTGGAAAACCCGGTGAGCGGGGCCGGAGGCTGCCACGTGGGCACTGGCCAGGAGGGAGGAAGGCCAGCCCGTCCCCTGAGCCCCCCCCCCCCCCCCCCCCCCCGACGCTGGGCTGAGGAGACTGGGATGGCCACGGGGGGATGCCTGCCTAACCACTCTCGCCTGGGCCCTGGCAGTGTGCGGGGCAGCTCCCGGAGAAGCAGTGGTGCCGCCTGCCCGAATACATGGTCCGAGGCCCCCAGGGGTGGGTGACAGGGAACCTGAGTGCCCGGGGGGATGGAGCTGTTGGCTTCACACTGCCTGGCTTTCGCTTCCTGCCCCCACCCCACCCACCCAGCGCTGACCTGGCCCCACTGAAGCCGGAGGAGCATGCCCTTAAGTTCGAGGTGAGTGTGGGGGTGGAGGTGGTAGAGCGGAGGGTGGGGCTGAAGCCTGCGCCAGGGAGAGGGACCGGACAGGCCTCACGCTGGCCAGGCTCACGCTGTCTCCGCAGTACATTGGCCTCGGAGCCGTGGCCGACTGTGTGGACGTGAACGTCACCGTGGGTGGCCAGAGCTGCCAGCACGAGCTCCGGGGCGATGTGGTCATCTGCCCCCTGCCCCCCACCCTGCCCCTGGGCAAGGACGGCGCCCCCCTGGAGGTAGGCAGCTCGGCCGGCCCTTCGCCGCAGACGTGGCTGGGGTCTGCGGGCTGGGCCTGAACTGCCACCTCCCCCAGGTCTGCGTGGATGGCGAATGTCAGGTCCTGGGCAGAGTGGTGCGGCCAGGCCCAGGGGGTCCCCTCCAGAGGACGCTCCTGGGTGTCCTGCTGGCCCTGGTCCTGCTCGTGGCTCTCCTGGCCATTGCGCTGGTCTTCAACTACCGGAGGAGGAAGCAGCTGGGTGAGCTCCCCACCCACGCCCGGGCGACTCAGCCGCCACCTCCACCATGGCATCCCCCAGTGCCGCCCCCTGTCTGCCCAGGCCGGGGTAGGGGTCGGCCTCCAGGAGCGGGGCGAGGCTGCCTACCAGGGCTCTTCTTCCACAGCCTTCTCTCCGAACCTGGACGACCTGGCATCTCTGGACCACAGCCCCGGAGGCCTGCCTCTGTCTCTGTTCCAGGCAGGCTCTGACTACAGACATGGCCCTGGTGAGACGGGGCCCTCCGCCGCCGGGGACAGCGCCCTGCCCCTCCTGTCCCTCACTCCCTCTCCTCTGCAGCCTCTCCCGCCGGGGACGGTCTGGATGCCACCTGTCGGGGCCACAGAGCGTCCTTCTCAGACAGCGGGGACGGGTCCCGTGTCCCGCTGCTTCGGACAAAGTCCATCCAGCTTGGGGACCTGGACCCTGCGCTCCTGGCCGAGGTCAAGGATGTGCTGATCCCCCACGAGCGCGTCATCATCCACGGCGACCGAGTCATTGGCAAAGGTGTGGGCCAGGCCGGGGGGCGTGACGTGGCACGGGCTCAGGGGGCAGTTGGGCAGGACTGTCGCCTTCTCACCTTCCTGTGTGACCTTGGGCACACCAAAGAGCCTCCAGCTGCTCTTCTGTGGGGTCGGGATTCATTTGTTTTCCGTGGGTTCTGGTGCAGCTCATGCGGGCTGGGCGGCTGCAGGCTGTGCCGTGGTGCAGCTGCTGCTTGTGTTTAAAGCCAGTCGGTGCTCTGGGGTCTGGTTGCCACAAGAGGGTGTGGTCTGGGCCCTGGGCGCTGGGCCCTTCTCACCACCTCCCCTCGCCAGGCCACTTCGGGGTTGTCTACCACGGAGAGTACATAGACGAGGCCGAGAATCGAATCCACTGTGCCATCAAGTCATTGAATCGTAAGTGGGGCAGAGGCTGGGCGGTCCTGGTCCCTGTGGTGTTCCCCCCTCACTGAGGGACCCCGAGCGGGAGACCCTTCCTCTCCTGTCCCCGTCGGCCTGACTCGCCGCCCCGCAGGCATCACGGAGGTGCAGGAGGTGGAGGCCTTCCTGCGTGAGGGGCTGCTCATGCGTGACCTGCACCACCCGCACGTGCTGGCCCTCGTGGGCATCGTGCTGCCGCCAGAGGGGCTGCCCCGCGTGCTGCTGCCCTACATGCGCCATGGAGACCTGCTCCAGTTCATCCGCTCGCCCCAGCGGGTCAGCGCTCCTGCGGCCCTGGGTCGGGAGGCCAGGCAGCAGCGGGGAGGGAGCCGTCCTGCCCTCGCCTCCTGACCCGCCTGTCCCCCCAGAACCCCACGGTGAAGGACCTCGTCAGCTTCGGCCTGCAGGTGGCCCGCGGCATGGAGTACTTGGCAGAGCGGAAGTTCGTGCACAGGGACCTGGCTGCTCGGAACTGCATGTGAGGGGCTGGAGCCCCGGGGGTGGGGCGAGGGGGCAGGTGCCGGGGCCACAGCTGCCCCAAAGGGGCCTCGGGGAAGGTTCCGCTCCAGCCCCTGCTGTGCGTCCCGGGCCTATTGGCCTGGCTGCGGGCCTCAGTTGTCCTGTCTGCCCAGTTCAGGCTCAGAGGGGACCCTGGCTCTGAAACGCTGTGAGGACATGGAACAGGGGGGCTCGGGGCCAGGTGGGGGCAGTTCTGAGTGCGACGCCCCTCTCCCAGGCTGGATGAGTCTTTCACGGTCAAGGTGGCTGACTTTGGCCTGGCCCGCGGCGTCCTGGACAAGGAATACTACAGCGTGCAGCAGCACCGCCACGCTCGCCTGCCGGTCAAGTGGATGGCGCTGGAGAGCCTGCAGACCTACCGGTTCACCAGCAAGTCGGACGTGGTGAGGCCCCGGCCCCGCAGCCCGCGTGGCCTCTGTGTCCTGGGAGACACCTGGCCTTGCCCCTCCGGCTTCGATGGTGACCGGGCCCAGGGACTCGCCAGCTGGGCAGCCCCGCAGCCCCCCGCCCGCCTCTCAGACAGGAGGAGGCTGTGGGCTCACTGGCTCCTCAACTCCCCGGGCCCCACCCAGTCCCCCCTCAGGCCTGGCTCAAGTGGTGGGAGGAGACAGCGAAGATGCTCTTGGGGTATTGAGGAACGGGCTCTGATTGGGGGGTGGAGCCCCCATTTCCAGTGAGAGGGCTCGGGGAGGTAGAAGACCTGGGGGTCCTCCTGGGTTGAGAGTTGAGTCGCCTCAAACCCCACCCTCCACAGTGGTCATTTGGTGTGCTGCTATGGGAGCTGCTGACACGGGGTGCCCCGCCGTACCCCCACATCGACCCTTTTGACCTCACTCACTTCCTGGCCCAGGGTCGCCGCCTGCCCCAGCCTGAGTATTGCCCAGATGCTCTGTGAGTATGGGGAGGTGGTGGGGGTGGGAGCTGGGCCCTGGAGGCCGGGGGGGGGGGTGGTGGGGCAGGAGACAGCGTTCCGGCCTCGCCCTCCGCCTCTGGTGACCTGGGAAGGGACCCTCTCAGAGCCTTAGTTTCCTCATCTGTGGACCGGTTCTGCCCCCATTCAGGGCTGGGTGCGGGGAGGATATCATGGTCGCCATGGTAACAGCATTCCCATCTTGCTGTCTGGGTTGCGGCCAGTGATTTGATTTCCCGGCACTCCTCTCCCCACAGCCCTGCCAAGGGGGCTGTTTCCATCTTCCCGCTCGCTCAGTCTCAGGAAAGGTTCCATTAGCTCCCACACCGCCCTCCGCATCTCCGATCAGATGTTTTCTTCACGGGATCCGGTTTCCGATCCCCGTTCTGGGAGGCATGGCGGCGGCAGCTGTGCTGTCCTCGTGCCTGGGGATGGGTTTGGTGCTGAGGTTCATCTCCGTCAGCAGCAGGCGCTCGGCTGCGCCCAGGCCTTTGCAGTGAGGACAGGCAGACCCAGGCCGCAGGTCCTGTCCCGCTGCGGAGGAGTGGCCCTTGAACGCCCGCCCGCCTGGGGCTCCTGTGATGCCTCTGGCCGGAGCGAGGCCCTGCAGCAGACCCTGAGATGGAGTTCCATATGCAGGGGGCTTATTGGGAGGTGGGGGCGAGGGGAGCAGGCCTGGGCAGGCAGAGAAGTGGGCATCGATGCAGACCCACAGGGGCCGCAGCCCATCCGGGGACTGCTGGAGCTGATGGCCCTGCGGAGTTTTGCAAAATTAAGATCAAGGTGCCGGGTCTTGGTACCAGATGTTAGTCAGTCACCGGTCACAGCTGTCCCTGGAGAGGGGTGTGACCTGGGGGAGGCGGTTCTTTTCTGACTAGAACCTCAGCCTTGAGCAGTCAGCAGCCTTGGGAGAATGAAGGGGGATCTGGGCAGCGCAACGCCATCCCAGAGCAAGTCGCTCCTCCTCTCTGGGCCTCAGTTTTCTCATCTGTAAATTGGGATGATAATAGACCCGCCCTTAGGGAGTCTGAGAATTATGTGAGGTTATTGTGTGTAGGGCACTTAAAGTGTCGTTTAAGGCAGGGATGACATTCCCAAGATAAAGGGGCAGTTTCTCTGGCAACCAGAGAAGCTGGTACCGCCCACACATCCTTGTGTCTGGGCTTCCTCCCTGGAGGCTGTGTGATGATGCCCTGCAGCCTGTGAGCTGGGCCCCTCATGGGCATCCAGTCTCCTTACGCCCCCGACAGCTTTGGGATCAGAGGAGGATCCAGAGGCACAGAGAGGTTAAGGAACTTGACCCAAATCACACAGCCCAGGGCACGAGGGCACAGGAACCCAAGCTCTTAACCTCTAAGGCATTGCGACCTCTAAGGGTGGCAAGGCAGGATGGGAGCAGCCATCACAAGATGAGAAGGGCTGTTGCCGGGCTGAGCTAAGCGTTAGGCCCTGTCACCATCCTCATGCTTACGTGCCTGCCAGGGGGCAACAGTGGGCAGCTCACAGTCTGCGGGTGGAGGCATGCCCTGCCCTGACACTCCCCACCCCGCAGGTACACAGTGATGCAGCGCTGCTGGGCAGCGGACCCCGCGGCGCGCCCCACCTTTGGGACGCTGGTGGGAGAAGTGGAGCAGGTGGCCGCGGCCCTGCACGGGGACCACTACGTGCAGCTGACCGTGGCCTACGTGAACCTGGGCCTCGCCGCCTCCAACGAGCCCATGTCCCCGGAACTGCCACTGTCCCCACGTGTGCACGGGAGCACCAGCCGGCCTCGGCCCCTCTCAGAGCCACCGAGGCCCACGTGACCTCGGCCCCAGGCAGGCCCCGAGGGCCTGGACCTGCATCACCCCGCCGGGGAGTTAACCCCAGGCCGCGCCAAGGGGTGGCCCCAGCTGCCCACTGCTCTGTTCCTGACCCTTAACCTTCAGGCTCTAGCAGGGGACAAGGCACACGGGCCCCTCACGCCACAGAGGGAGCCATTGCGGGTGATCCTTGAGCACTTACGGAATGCCTGCTGCATGCCTGGCCTCTGAGCGCAGGGAACTCAACTGTGACGCTGGCCCATGAACCAGTCAATGAATGACTTGAAGCATAAATTCTGGCAAATGCTCTGAAAGAAAAAGGCAGGTGGCCCTGGCCTGTGTGGCTCAGGTGGTTGAACGTCATCCCGTGTACCAAGAGGTTGCTGGTTCAATTCCTGGTCGGGACACGTGCCTGGGGTTGCGGGCTCAATCCCCAGTAGGGGGCGTGCAGGAGGCAGCCGATTGATGTTTCTCTCTCGTATTGGTGTTTCTCCCCCCCCCCTCTAAAATCAATAAAATATATATATATATTTAAAAAAACAAACCAGGTGGCTTTGGGGGAATGGAAGACAGCATTAGATGGACAGGTGAATACAGCCCTGGCTGGTGTGGCTCAATGGATAGAGCGTCAGCCTGCAGACTGAAGGGTCCCAGCTTTGATTCTGGTCAAGGGCACATGCCGGGGTTGTGGGCTCGATCCCCGGTGTGGGGTGTGCAGGAGGCAGCCGATCAATGATTCTCTCATCATGGATGTTTCTATCCCTTTCTCTCTGAAATCAATAAAAATCTATTTAATAAAGGTGAATGCAGAGGTGAGGGAGGTCTGCAGGAGGTGATGTTTGGCGAAGTCCCTGCCAAGCGGAAGCTGCGCAGAAGCAGAGCTGGAAGAGAGACCCTGAGGCTGGGAAGGAGCTGGGTCAGTGAGAAGCCTCCAGAGAACAGGAGGGTAGCGAGACTCGGACCCAGGGTGCAGGGCCCTGGGGACTCGGGTGGACCCCAGGGGGCGGAGGAGCACCCAGGATCGCAGCAGCCAGGATGGCTGGCCCCGCCCCTGGCTCAGCCCCTCTCCAGGGCTGCCTGCTCCACCTGCAGCCCCCCCCTCCCCCGCACTGTCAGGCATGGACACTTGTCCCTCCTCCCACGCTGCCAGCCTTGTACTCGCAGCCTTGAGAGACGAGCCAGCAGCCAGGCCTCAGCGCCACATGGTTCGGGCACCGGCTTCGAGGTGCTGCTGCCGGCGGCTGTTTACACCCGTCAAGGCCACTGGACAATGGCCCCGAGGGCCGGCTGCGGAGGGAGAACAGGTCCCCGCGCAGCCCTCTCCGCAGCCTCCGTGCTGAGGGGGAGCGGGTGCCGGGTGATGGCCCAGCACCTACATCGCGGTGGTCCCCGCTCTTGCTCAGGACCCCACTTGCCCCTGCCCTGCCAGTGTGGGGGCCCCCGTTCACCCTAAAGGGAGTACGTTCCCTCTCCTGCGAGTCCCAGCTCTGCCCTTTCTCACATGGAACCCTGGGTTTGGGGCAAGTGGATAGAGCCTGATGACCGAAGGGTCTCGGGTTCGATTCCGGTCAAGGGCACGTACCTCGGTGGCAGGCTCCTCCCTGGCCCGGGCCGTGGCCGGGGCGCGTGCAGGAGGCAACCCATCGATGTGTTTCTTCTACGTCATATTTTCTCTGTCTCTCCCTCTCTCTTCCACGCTCTCTAAGCCTCAGTGGAAAAATATCCTCAGTGAGAATGAAAGGGAAAGCTCCCTGGGAAGCAGTGGGGTCTCCTGGGGACGGGCACTGCCCAGTGCTCTCCTCTCTACACTCACCCCCAGTGGGGGCCCAGCGGGGGCCCTGAGGGCAGGTAGGGAAAGCTGACACAGGGACTGCTGCTCAGGTGCAGGGGTGCCGAGACCAGGGGCCCATGAGCTGGGGGGGCAGCTCTGCCGTTCACCATTGCACCCCTGCTGCCCCTCAGTGTGGGACCCCTGGTCTCTGTGAGAGGGGACAGCTGTGTTGCCCCCGAGGCTGGGAGCGAGGTGAGGAATGTCCTGGAGCCCCCCTCCCCCAGCTGTGGTCCCCATACCCTCTGGCAAGGACTATCTCAGTCCCTCTCACTTGCGGTCCTCGTCCCCTGACCTCGTCCTGGGGGTCTAAGGGTCCCCCTGAGCACCAAGCCCGGTGGGGGGGGGGCGCGAGGTTGCTTCCCACGGAGCCTCTGCGGCTCAGGGGCCCCTGGCTCGTGTTCATGGGAGAGGAGCTCAGAGGGGATGGGGTCTCCGGATGGGGCTTGGCAAGGAGAGGGGTTCCTGAGAAGGAGGTGGAAGGACGCCCCAGGGGGTCAGGGTTCCTGTGCAGCCGAGTGGCGTCCGGGCCTGTTTCTGGGCTGAGGTCCCCAGGCCAGGACCCTCCAGGGAGGGGCCCCCGGTCAGCCCGAGCCGGGCTCCTGGACGGGGACACCATTGTCCTCCAGGGCCACTGAGCGTCAGGAGCTGGGGCTGCTTCGGGGTTTCAAACCCCTGACGGGGCCGCCAGGGAGGGGAGGAAAGGAGAGTAATTCTAGGCCCCGATGGGCTGGGGGCCAGGAGGGCCTTTAGAAACAAATGCTTCTATTGGTTTTTCAGAGAGAGGAAGGGAGAGGAATAGAGGATGGAAACATCCATCAGCTGCCTCCTGCACGCCCCCTACTGGGGGTCTAGCCCACCACCCGGGCATGTGCCCCTGACCCGAATCCACCGGTGACCTCTTGGTTCATGGGTCAACGCTCAACCACTGGGCCACACCGGCCGGGCTGGGAGACTCTGGGCTTCCAGGGCTGGCAAAGGCTGGCTGCCTTCCTGCTGGGGGGCTGGAGTGGTGCCTCGGGCATGGGGGGTGGCCATGGTGGGCCCGAGCCTGCCGCCAGGGTGGGGTGGCATGAGCGGGGGCTCTCCAGGGGTGGGGGAGTCCAGCCTTCCCCACCCCGAGTGTGGAGAGCGACCAGCTCCTCGCCTCACCTCTCCCCCTCGCTGCCCAGTGGGGCTGGGCCAGCAGGAGCCGGGAGAGTGGAGGGAGGCCAGGCTGGGAAGCAGTGATGACTCACCCTCCTCGGCCGCCGATGTCACTGCTGTCTGGCACCTGGACGCCTGCATGGGGTCCACGGACCTGCTTTGAGGGGAACCGGGGCCTGGTCTGAAACGCCCCTGGCGCCCGGGCCCCAGTCTCCTGGGGAGTTTTCCCAGGGACCAGACACCTGTGTGGGCTGATCCCTGGGAGGCTTCGATGCAGCCCCATCTCCAGCCCTGGGACCTTCTGGACAGCGGCTTCACCGTCCCTGCCTCCTGCAGCCCATGAGGTCCCAGGGCTACGCCTGGTCCCACTCCATGAACTCAGTCCCTTCGCCTGTGGGAGAGCAGGGCTCTCGGGTGCTGGGTCGGGTGGGGTCGGGCGCAGTTGCAGGGGTCTGAGCTGGCGGAGGCCTGGGCTGCAGCTCTCAAACATGTTTCCTCTGCTGGGGCCAAGGTGAGCACCGAGTCCACCAACCAGGCCCCGATGAAAACCTGCTGGGCTGGGGAGTCCCTTCGGGGGACAGAGCCCAGCCTCTGCTCAGCCACAGCCTCTGCTCACCTGCGGCCTCTCCTCACCCACGGCCTCTCTCTGCCCCAGTGAGAGTCCAACCAGCCTGAGGGGCACTCCAGCCTGGAGGAAGTGGGATCACTCTGTTCAGCGCCCTGCATTCCCCGTCCGCAGAGTGGGGGCCAACAGAGCCTCGATCTTTCGGGGTTTGCTCCAGTGGGGGTTTAACCCAATGAGCACCGTGCCCGGAGAGCCGGGGCAGCTGTGGGCATGGCTGGGGCGGTGGCCCTGGGTGAGCTGGTTCTTTAAGGAGGGCGGCCGGGAGCACGGTCTGTGGCGAGCCGGCACGGCCATGGCACACTCAGCCCCACACTGGGCGCCTTATGTGCCGCGCCAGCTCAGCCAGGTAGACCCTGAGAGGGGGCGGTGAAGGATGGAGAAAAGACCGACAAGAGAAGAAAGCTGGGTCTGGGTGGGACGCTGTCCTCTCTGACGGAGAGCTAGCGACAGCGCCATGGCCTGCAAGCCGTGTCTTTATTTTATAGCAGATTCCACGAGGCAAAGTAAGGGCGTGGTCAAGATGTTTACAATGTTCTCCTGGGTTTCGATCCTACTCAACTACATGCACCTGAACTCTATCAAGCCCACATCACTCAGGCACGTGGGGCCACGTGTCCAGACCACAGGTTCAAGCTCACAACCATAGCTGTTGGCTATAATTGTGCTGGGAGGGCTCTGCCCTCCAAGCTGGGACTTGCACGTGGCCATGAGAGGACTGTGCCCTCTCATTAGTCCGAGGCTTGAACCTGTCCAAACACCGTAGCCGCTCTCCACAACGGTCTTCACACTGGTCCTCTCTTGGTGCGAGTCCTTAGCCCAAAGTTAGGCAGCAGGTGCCCAGCAGCGGCAGAGCTTGCCTGGCCCAGCTCAGTCCAGAGGTGTGGCCCCTGGGTCCCAGCCACCCCAGCGGATACCCCGGGACACTCAGAAATGACTGTTTCTCCTGAAGCCCCGGCCCTGTCAGTTTATCCCAGAGTACCGCTGTCTCTCACCCCTCCCTCTCACCCCCCTCCCTCTGCAAGGAAGGGCGGCTCTGCTCCTGCGCCTCCCATGGCCCTGCATCTCGCTCTCCGGTCCTTCAGTCCGTGCCCTCAGCACCCTCTGTCCCTGGTCCCAGGATGCTCAGCTCAGGCCCAACAGGGACTGCTGGGCTGCCCTGGAGAGGGAGGCAGCGAGGGCACGGTCCCCCTCGCTTGGTCGGGTGAGGAGCCCAGGAGCAGCCCTGTCCCTCCATGGCTCCCCGTGCCCCAGCCTCCCCCATCCGGCAGCCCTCATCTTGGAAAGCCAGCAGAGGGCCCACGGCCTGGCAGGCTGCTCGCTGCTGGGAAGATGGCAAGAGGCTCCGTGTTGGGCCTCCCCAGTCTCGCTGATGCTGGCGAGGAGCTCGGGACCAGGCTGGAGCTCGGGTGGGGGAGCTGAGAGAAGCTGCTGAGTCCGGGGCTCAGCATGGGCAGGCAGAGGGGGCACGAGAGGCTCCGGTGCCAGGGCGTCCTGCCCTCTCCTCTCCACTGGCTTTCCCGTTGGTTAGGCCGCCTGCACACTGCGGTCGGCCTCGGCCTGGGCACCCGGGACGCGGAATGCACCGGGGAAGGCGGGGACTCCACGCAGCAGTGGCCACGGTCATGGAGTTCCATCCGCTCTGCCGCCAGCACCCTGCTGCCTGGACCAAGGAGGCAGCCAAGGAGGCAGCCCAGCCCTGGCCTCCGTGGCAGTGCCCGCTTCCGCCAGGCCTGTCCTGCTGACATGTCCCTCTGAGCTGGGGACCCCCCTTCAAAGAGGGAGAGGCATCCTTTGAGCAGCCCCGCTCTCCCTGCCCACATGGGCTCCTGCCTTGGTGAAGCCGCCACCGCCCCCCCCCCCCCCCCCCCCCCGCACTGGGCCTGGGCTCCTGGCGTCCCCTCGGCAGGCATGGCTGGAGGTCGCTTCTCCGCGGGCAGTGGCTGCCCCCACCTCTGCTGGCTCCCAGGGAGGGGAGCGCCCACCCGGCTCCTCAGCCGGCGGAGCAGCGGCCGTGGCTGTGCGGCTCTCCCTCCGGGCTGGGGCGCTGGCCATGGTTCACGCAGTTACGTAAGCTTGAGCCAGTCGGGGCTCAGAGCGGCTCACTGTGGCTATTTATAAGCTGCAACATCACCGCAGAGGGGTCACTGCACCGCGGCTGGCAGGGACGGTTGCTTAACCGTCCATGTTTCCCTGGTGCCGCTCCACGGAGGACATACCCTCCACGCCTCCTGCCTCGGGGCTCGGAAGCCACGTCCTCCCGGCGCTCCTGGGTTCTGCCCCACAGCCTAGATCTGGAGGGATTTGCACCCTCACCCCCTGCAGGGCCCGCAGGACGGGGCTCTGCACCCTGGCTGTCTGCCTGAGGGTCAGGTGGGGGCCAGGGAAGAGGTGGGCAGCTCTTTAGAGGGTGCTGCCTCGATGGAATGGTGCCCCCTGGCCAGGAGCTCCAGGACCGGGGGGCCCAGGCTCAGGTCTGGGCGGGAAACACAGAGAGCTGGGTGTGGAGCTGGAGACCAACAGGGCGCCCTTCCTCCTCGGGCCTCGGTTTCCCCTCAGGACCCAGAGAGGACAGCAGCACAGGACTCGTCTGGGCCTTCCCAGAGGCCGGCCTTTGCCTGGGTTGTGCTCCGAACGCCCATCCTCCACAGACCCGAACCACCCCATCTGAGCAGCTGGGCTGAGGGTGAAGGCCCCTGGACCACAGACAGGGGGCCCTCGGGGAGGCAGGCCGAGTTCCTGCCATCGCAAGGGTGGCTGCAGGGAGCCCTTCCAGACTCCTCTGCTGGGTTTTTTGTTTTTTGTTTTTTTTTTTTCAGATTTCTTCAGATTCCAAGATTGTTTTAATCTAGATTAAGAACATTTTTTTAATGTTTTATTGATTTTGAGAGAGAGAAGAAGGGAGAGGGGACGGGAGAAACATTGGCTGCCCCCTGCACGCCCCCTACTGGAGGATGAGCCCCAAACCCTGGGCATGTGCCCTGGCTGGGAATTGGGCCCCCTTGGTGCATAGAATGACGCTCACCACTGAGCCACGCTGGCCGGGCTGCACTTTTGTTGGCTGTTGTTCTCCCCCCTTTCAGGCTTGCTCTGACCCTAGATCTATGGCGAGGCCCAGAGTCTCCCTGGGGCCCAGGGAGCAGGCTGGTGGCCAGGGACTTGCAGAGCTGCGTTCTGAGGACAGAGCAGGACCTTCTGCCCTGGAGACGTGGCGTGCCCCTCCTGATGCCCTCGGCCCCCCACCCTCGGGCCAGTCCAGCCCCATCCACAGGAAAGAAGGCTCTCGGAGGGGCTGCCTCTCCCCATCTCCTGAAGTCTCCCCGCAGGGGTGGGGGCCGTACCCCCAAACCTGCCAGGAGGGTCCAGGTGAGTCTGAGGAGGCGATGATGCCACACCTGCTCTCAGGGGAGACGCTGCGTGGCCTCACCCTCAGACCGAGCCCTTCCCAGGTCCCGTGAGGGCCCTCCACCGCCCACAGCCCGAGCCTGGGGGAGGGGCTCAGCCTGGGGGAGGGGCTCGCAGGTTGCCATGGCAACACGTTGGCCCTCCTCACTTTCCAGGATCAGAAATAGCATTGTATGCCCTTCTTCCTGGTGAGAGACTATTTAAAACACGTGGGGGGGGGGGCGGGGAAATGTGCTTGCTTGATCCCCAGGGGCTCGCAGAGGGACCTGCCCGCGCCTCTCCAGCTGCCCCTGTCCCCCCTCCCCCAGGTGGATGGACAGGAGCGGGCTCTGGCGGCCGCGAATTCCAGGTACAAAGGACTCGCCTGGCCTCTCCGGTGTGTAGCTAGCGCTAGCCCCTACTCAGCACCGCCAGGTTCCCGGGAGGGCACTGGCTTCCTGGTGCCAACTCGAAATGCCCCTCCCAGGCCGGGCCACCTGCTGAGCTGGGAGGAGGGGCAGGCCGCTGGGGGACACCCGCTGGGGTAGGGCTGCCGCTCAGGAGCGAGACCTGCTGGCTTCCCTCCCCCAGGGCCGGACAGACGGTCAGGGGGCTCCCGGGGCCTCCCGCCCCGCCTCCCGCCTCCCAGTGCAGCCCACCCCAAGGGCTGCACAAGTCCTAGCATCTCTGTTGTGGGGAAAACCAACCCCCCAAAAGTAGTTTCCTTGGGGTCAGAGATGAATGAAGTCAGCCGTGTTCAGTGTGTGTGTGTGTGTGTGTGTGTGTGCGCGCGCGCCCACAGGCAGGCCACAGGCCCTTGGGCTCTGCGACTGTCCTGGGCCATAGTGCATGGTGAGAGCAGTGTCCAGAGGCCCCATTCATTCATGTATACATACATATATGTTTCAGAGAGGAAGGGAGAGGGGGAGAGAGAGAAAAATCAATGAGAGAGAATCATTGATTGGCTGCCTCCTGCACGCCCCCCTACTGGAGATCGAGCCCAAAACCCAATCGGGAATTGAACCAGTAACCTTTTGGTGGGCAGGACAACACCCAACCGGCCAGGGCCTGTGCCCATTCTTAAATGAAGGCCGCTCCTAGGGAAGGGGTGGGGCCCTGGGGGCTGGGACCCGGCTGTGTCAGCCTCTGCCCCGCGCTGAGCCAGGAAGCCGCAGGCACAGCTCGGTGCTAGCCTGGGTCCCGGTCACACCGCTTCACACCCCACGGCCAACTGTAAGCACTATTTTTAACTTCTGTGAAAACACACGGCATCAGAGGTCAAGCCTGCAGCTGCCTTCTCCACAAACCTGTTTCCTGGGCAGAAAGACTGAGGCCTGAGAGGACCCAGCGCCGGACGGACAGAGGGAGGAGGCCCAGGCCTCTGGCCCTGAGCAGCTCCCCAGAGGGCCGCCTAGGCCTGTCCTCCAGGGTCGCAGGCACGCCTGGGCCTGGGCTGGCGGTCTAGGCAGGTCCCATCCTCCCGGCCCCTCTGTTTGCCCATCTAAGAAATGGAGAGGGGAGCTGCCCCCGCATTTCCTAGGTGCCCGCCCTACGTCCGGTCCTTTGTCCGACTCGCCCGCCCCGTGTAGGCAGCTGTGCCCACTGTGTGCGCAGCCCTGCACCCCTCCCCCCCCATGTGCGCTGTGTGGAGGGCTCTGTAACCACGATGTCCTTACTGTGCCCCACTTGTCCTTGCACTTGGCTGGCCCGTGCACACTGTGACCTCGCCCTGCGCCCAGTGCTCCAAGCCCCCTCCGGCCACCACGGGGAAGCTGACACAATGTGACAAGAGCTAGAACACTGGGGACTTGAGAATTCTGAGCCGAGGCCCCGCCCCCAGGGCCCTGTGGTCCCCACCCCCAGCTCTGCAGGATCCCAGCCCCAGGTTTCACGGATGTGGCTCTGGGAGGGGGCTCTGAGGCACAGACGGAGGGGAGCCATCTGGAGCAGAGCCACTGCCAAGGGCGCGAGAACCCGGGGAGCCTGGGCTGGGGCCTGGGCCCTCCCCCGCCCCTGCCTCCAGGGCTGGGTGGGCAAGGAGCCTCTGTCACACCTGGAACTGCAGCCAGGGGTCAGGGCTCCATCTCAGGTTGCCACCTGGGAAATGAGGGGAAAGGAAGGCCCGTCGTGCCTGGGAGGTAGACGGGGAGCCTGGGCTTCCTCAGCGTCTCCCCGCCCGCCTTCCTCCCTGGGCCTTCCCCTGCCCTCCCGCTCCCAGGCACTGCCCTCTTCGGGCACCGGCACCACCGCCTGAGCAGAGAGGCCCCCTGGCTGGGAGGGGAGAGGAGCGGCCGAGGCTCCGCAGGCTTTCCTGGGCGACCTGGGCCTTTCTGTCTCCCCAGGCGGGTGGGGCCCCTGGTTTCCCACACTCTGTCACCCCCACCCAGGTCACTGGGGGCTGTGATGTGTGGGGTCGTCATGGCAGTAAAGTGGGGGCAGGGCCCTAGGCATGGAGCAGGACTATGGAAGTCACCAAGCAGGTGGGGGACCCTGATCCATCGGACCCCCAGGGCCACCCCTCAGCCAGGAGCCAGCAGCTGCTGGGGGATGGCCTCAGGGAGTCTCAGGGACCGTGGATAAACTCGGGGCCCATATGCTTTAGGCAGCGGCTGTCATGGTCCCCCGAGGCCGTCACTGACGGGGCCTGTGGCCCAGCCTCCCAGGCCCCCGGTCCTGCGCCTGTTCACCAGCTCCCCTGGGGCCCCACTGAGGGTGGCGCACAGTGTGGCTCGGAGCAGGCCTCCCAGGACACCCCGAGACTCTCCTCCACCGGCCAGCATCCCAGCCCCGTCGTGGAAGCTCAAGTGCATCTCGTCCTGGAGAATGAGACCCTGCCCCTGCCCTGGGGCACACCCAGGGACAGCTCCGATGGCCTGGCCCAGCTCGGGGGCCGCAGTTCCTGGCTTCAGGTGCAGGATGCGAGGGAGCGCAAGGCTCCGGCTAAAGTCCTGGTAGGCTGGGGCAAAGGCCCCTGCAGCACCCACCAGAAAGCCCCCTGGGGCCTGGCAAGGAGCCCGCAGGTCCCCTGTTTCCTTTCAGGGGATATTGGCTCAGCTGCAGCCCTAGGTCCTCCTCACGCTCCAGCCCAAGATCAGGGTCGGTGCCCGTGGCCGGCTCAGGCACCTCCGGCTCCAGCGCGGGCCAACACTCCAGCTCTGCAGACAACCCTCACGCCGGCAGCAGTGGCACGTAACACCTGCAGCCGCGACCACCTGCCCGGGAGCCTCGCCACCGCCAAGGACTTGTCCCGGGACCTGCCCAGGGAGAGTGGCAACCAGTGGTCAGGCCTCTTGGAGACTTCCAAGGTGGTCACATTCTGCCAGGACAACGTGATCTTTGGTTCTCAGCCGCTCCCCACCCCAGGAGCCACTCCGAGAGAGTCCCCAGACCACGCCCCCGAGCTTGAAGCTGCCAGAAGGCCGGTGCTACCGAAGCAGCCTGAGACTCCAGCAGAGAAGCCGCTGTTCTATACCTTTAACCTAGACTGCCCCACACCAGTCCCAGGAAGGCCGGGCACCCCCACATCCCAGAGGAGCCTCCAGGAGGTCAGCTCGCAGCCAGAAGGGCAGTCCCTCAGGGCCTGCAGCCTCACCTGTGCCAGGGCGCCGCCCCCCGCCTGCCAAGTGACCTGCCGCGGGCAGCGCCCGGCCCAGCCTCCCGGGGAAGCCACGCAGAGGCCCGCCTCCAGTGCCCCCACCTGCCAGCTCCAGGACCCTGCGGAAGGCCACGTGCTGGTGTTTGACATGGACACGGGCAGCACCAGGCTGGGACTGCTGTGCCAGGACCCCCTGGGCTCACGGGCGGTACTGGTGGGCCTCGTGCCCAACCCCCCGCCCGTTTATGCCCCTGAGAATATGCCGTCCACCTGGCCATTGGCCGTGCCTGTCGCCTCCCCTAACCGCGATCGCTCCAGCTTCGGGCCCATCTCGTCGGTGCTGTCCAGCCCCGTGCCCTCCAGCCTCTCCTCTGGCAGCTACCGCGAGGTGGCCCTGGCTCCCAAGGAAGCCAAGCTCAACCTGGAGTCACGGGACTCCCCTGGTACCGAGACACCCATCAGGGTGAGCCTGCTCCCTGCGCCCCTTCCACAGCGAGGGCCCCTCCAGTTTGGAGGGAGGACACTGAGCCGCGTCCAGGATCCTGGCTGGCCCAAACCTACGGCTGAAAAAAGCGAACCCACTCACGCCATCTGGGTCCTGGATGCGTCCGCGATGCAGGATGCCTTTGCGGGCCAGGCCAGAGGGCTGCAGGTGACCATCCCAGAGCCGGCCCCAGAGCCAGCCCCGCCAGCCACAGCCCAGGAGGCAGCCAGAGCCCTGCTCCTCGCGGATACAGGCAGCCACACCCGGAAGGAGGCCAGGACTGCTCACCCTAACAAACCTCGGGCTGAAGGGACTAGGCAGGCCCCCCTCAGCAGTTGGCCCTCACTCGCTGAGCAGCACCCCCTCTCTGGACAGCCCCCTGCAGCGGGTCAGCCTCCCTCTGCTGAGCAGCATCCCTTTCCTGGCCAGCCCCCTCTCCCTGGAATCCCTCTTGCCAGGCAACTCTCTCTCACTGGGCAGCCTGCCTTTTGCCAAGAGCCCACCATCTCCAAAGAGCCCATCCTCTCAAAAGGCCCCCCCTCCACCAGGGAGGCTGGCCAGGCCCCCACCCAGTGCCAGGAAGGGGAGGCCTTGGGTCTGCCCACCCACGTGGGGATACTTCGGGTGCCCCTGGCCCAGGAAAAGACCTGCGTCTATGTGAGCAGAGAAACGGTGGGCCTCAGTGCCCCTCCCACATCCAACTCCCATTGGCTCTCCTCCTGGCCGCCTGGCAGCTCTCACATGGCCCCGGAGGAGCAGCTCTCCCTGGTCACATTCACCACACCTGGCACCAGCTACAAGGTCTTGCCCATGGCCATGGTGGGCACTGTGCCCCAGGGCCCCGGGCTCAAGCTGACAGCGGAGGACATTACCGACTCGCCGGTGGTCACGAGCCTTGGCCTGCTCAGCGGGGCCTACTGTGCTCTGCCGGGGCAGTCCCCCGGGCTTTCGCTGGGCCACTTCCAGAGCTCGGCGGCCGTGGTGATCGACACAGGCTCCGGCTTCACCAAGTGCGGCCTGGCCGGGGAGGACCACATCCTCAGCGTGGTGCCCTCCCATGTGCAGCTGCTGCAGCAGCCCGCCCAGGACCCGCCCAGGTACGCGATGCTGGGCGCCGGCGGCGGCTCTTACACGGTGCTGAACCGGGGAGTGGTCTCCGACTGGGACGCACTGGAGGTGCTGTGGCAGCACCTGTTCTACTGCAAGCTGGGCATGCGGCCCGAGGAGCTGGCCGTCCTGGTGGCTGACTCGCCCATCTCCCCGCGCACCAACCGCGAGAAGGTGGCCGAAATCCTCTTTGAGTGTTTCCACGTGCCGGCCATGCAGACCGTGCACCAGGCCCTGCTGGCGCTCTATGCTTACGGGCGCACCACCGGGCTGGTGCTGGGCAGTGGCCACGGCACCTCCTACGTGGCGCCCATCCTCACCGGGGATCTGGCCCCACTGGACACCTACAGGCTGGATGTGGCCGGGGCTGACCTCACGGAGTACCTGGCTGAGCTGCTGCTGGCCGGCGGCCACTCGCCGCCCAAGGCAGGGCTGGTCAGCCACCTGAAAGAGACCTGCTGCTATGTCGCTCTGGATGTGAAAGCCGAGATGGCCCGCACGCAGGCCCAGTCCCGGGCGAGCTTCCTGCTCCCGGACCAGCAGGTCATCACCCTGGGCTCCGAGCGCTTCCGCTGCCCCGAGGCCCTCTTCCAGCCACACCTGCTGGGCCTCAACCAGCCGGGCCTCCCGCAGCTGGCCCTCCTGAGCATCAGCCGGCTGGAGCCCCGGCAGCAGGAGCAGCTGCTGGCCAACGTGGTGCTGGACGGGGGCAGCACGCTGGTGAGCGGCTTCCCTGAGCGCCTGCGGCAGGAGCTGGGCCCTCGTGCCACCGTGCTGGGCTCTCCGCACCGCGCCGTGGCCGCCTGGCTGGGAGGCTCCATCATGGCATCCCGGGACTCCTTCCAGAGTCTGTGGCTCAGCCGCCGGGAGTACGAGGAGGAGGGCCCGTGGGCCATCTACAAGTACCATCTATGAGCACATAAAGTTCTGGTTCTGTGGGCTTTGAGTGCTGTGGCGTGCTTTAGGCCCAGGGAGGTGTGGAGAGGATGGGGTCCCGGCAGGGGTTCGGGGCTGGGGCCCCTGGCACACCTGAGTCACACCCGCCTCCGCGCACTGCAACTCCCCAGGTCCCGGCAGTCTCTCCCTCCTAGAGCCCCTGAGCCCCTTGGCATTGGCTCTGGTCTAACCTGACCTTTATTGCACCCCAAGGGCAAACACAGAGAGTGGCTGCTGTGGGTTTTGCCCCGTTGCCCTGGCGACAAGTGCAATTACCCTTGATTGCCAGCTGGTTGCCATGGCAATTTCAAACATAATGTAATAACCCACACAGCCTGGAGTGAGTCATGGTGGGGGCAGCCCCTTCCCCTAGCTCCTGAGGAAAAGACTATTTGCCCTCCCCCATCCTGGGCTCTATTCGGGGGGCTGGGGCCGGCAACATAGACGGCAGCCACATAGTCCCATGGTGGCTGGGGCCCAGGAGCATTGCTTGCCCCCTAGGGACAGTGCCTGTCAGGGTGTGGGCTTCTTGGGGGAGCTTGCCTGGGAGTGAGTGATCTCCTATCATTGGAACTTGGCTGGGGCTCAGTACTGATTGGCAGGGGTATGGGAGTGCTGGCCTTTGGTGTCCTGGGACAGGAAGTGCGGGTGAGGGGGCAGATAAGGCCTGGCTCCGGGGGTGGCGTGGAGGGGTACACCTGAGCTGTGGATGGGACTTGGGCCTGTTTTGTAGGTTCTGTGGATATGGAGGCTCACACCTCATCCTGCCTCTCTGACTGTCCAGCCTGAGTGGGAGCCAGAATAGTCAACTTTGGGCTCCCTTCTTCCCTTTGGCCCCCCAGCCCAGGCAGCTCCCACCTCCCCAGGAGGTCTCATAGGGGCTACTGGGCAATGCCAATGCCAATGCCAATGCCAATTGCCCCTGCTCTTGTCCCAAACTCTGCCCTGCGCTGGGGCCTCCCGCCGTCCCTCTGGCCAGGGTGGTGGCTAGAAGCCACGGCTCCTGACCTCGTCTGGCTCTGAAAGGGGAGGTAGAAATGGACCTGTCCCCCGAGCCCGTGGTCTGGGAGAGTTGAAGGGGTGGTGTGAAGCTGGTGTGGCTACTTCATCCCCAGAGGACAGCTTGAGATCGAGCCAAGACGAGGAAGCCCTCCTCTGCCTGAGCTGCTCTGGCTGGAGGCTGGAGGGATGAGCTGTGGCCCAGCCCAGCCCTGGGCTGTCTTCAGGGTGCTCGCTGCACAAAGGACAAAGACCAGGTTTCATCTCCCGCCACAAACACACAGGCACACGCACACACACACACACACACACACACACACACACCTGAGCGTGAGGGGCTGCGCTAAGTGTGAGACTAGAAACAGCCAATAGCATAGGGTTACACAGCCCTGCCCACCGCCAGCCATGGTCCGGTCTCTTCCCATTTCCTGTCCCCACACCCTGACTCAGTCTCCACAGTCCTGAGGCCTGTGTCATACAGGAAGGGGACCAGAGTCCCCAGGGACCCGTGGCTCCAGGGACTAGCTACCGCATCCATGCGCACACGTGAGCGAGCACGCCTGAGTGCACACAGAATGCAGACACACGTGCCCCCGGGCACCACTGCACACACAGTGCCGTTGCCTTCTCCGTCAATAACAGAAGAGCGCGCGCACACACACACACACACACACATGTGCACACACCCTGCCACGTGCTCTCACCCACAGGCACGTGGAGTGTGCACAGGACCCAGAAGGGGTGGAGCCCTGCCAGCAGCCAGCTGGGCCCCAGCAGCCACCTCTTCCCCTGCCTCTAACCCCCATCCCAGCCTCTGCTTAGCCCCGCCTCTGCATGCCTAGATATGCATGCCCTTCGGGAAACACAGAAAACATGGTGACACGTGTGACACGTGTGACCTGTGTGAGGTCAGCAGCCCATTGCCCAGCTGTCCATACAGCTTGGAGAACCATGGTTTCGGGGACAGCGGGCGGACAGCAGGAAGGGCCGAGTGCGGGCTGCAGACAGAACTAAGCCTCCTGGGAGGAGACACGGGCTGCAGACACCAGCTTGCCGGCAGATGCCTGCCCACAGGTGGCATTGGGCTGCCCTGGAAGAGGTGACGTCACCCGAAGCCCGGCAGGGTGGGAAGGGGAGGAAGGTAGCGAGGGGCAGTCATTCCCCAGGCAGCCTTACCTTCCTCACGTGGGGAGTCACTCCCCTTGGCATCCAAGAGGAGACTCAACATGGCAAAGGGTTGGAGCTGACCCCTCCCAAGGTGGGGTTGGCAGGCTCCCTGGGTGGGGTGGGCTGAGTGGAGAAGCCTAAGTCTGCCCTCCAGATAGAGGCCTCGGGGCTTGTGAGGGGAACGGGCCAGCGTTGGCCCACATGCCTCCCAGACAAGGGACAGAGGATGGCCCTGGACTTCCCTTAGCGCTTCGGCCGGGCAGCTCTCAGCCCGCTCCGGCCAGGGCCGCCCCGTGGTCCGCCCAGGCCGTGCCGGGCTCCGTTGCCGGGGCTGGACCTCCGTTGCCGGGGCTGGACCTCCGTTGCCCTCTGGGCGGAGGTAGGTCCGCGTCCCAGAGCCCAGCCCAGGCCGCTGATGGTGACCCTGCGCTGGCGTGTTTGAGGGTGACATGACTGGGAAGAAAGCGGAGTCCACACCACGCCATAGGTGACTCCTCTAGTTTGGGGAATTCAGGGCTATCGAGGAGAGGGCAGACTGGGCCACCCATCCTGGCCCAGACTTGGGGACGGCAAAGGCTGTGGCCTGGCGGGAGTGGGGGTTGGGGTGGAGGCGAGTCTGCCTGGGGGTCTTGGACCCTCACTGGCCACCTGCGCCCGGCGCACCCCCCCCCCCCCTCCCCCGGTCTTTATCCGTCTTTATACTCTGGCGGGGAGGCTGGTCTGTGCTGCGCTCGCCCTGGCGCTGCGCACTCGGTGCTTCCACGCGGGTTTCACCCTTTGGGCCCCGCACCTCCCTGCGGGGGCAGAGCAGGGACCCTCTGACCCCCGTCGCCCAGCCAGGTGGAGGCCCTACGGGAGCCTCCGAGAGTCGGCCCGGCCTGCTCGGCACCGGCCCCGGTGGAGGGGGGTTTCAGTCTCAGGCTCCTCCGGGGTCGGGGCGGAGCCGGCGGAGGGAGGCCCCGCCCCCAGCCCGCCCCCGGCCCGGGATGCGAATTCGGTGCCGCCGAGCGGCGGGAGATGCTGACGGTTCGCGAGCCGGAGCGGCTGCAGCTGGCGCCGCGTCTGCCCCGCGTGTCCGGAGCGGATCCTGCCCGCCGCCCCCGGAGCCCTCGGCGCCCCGCTGAAGCCGCGGCCGCCGCCTCCCCGTGATCTCCCGGCGCTGCAGGTGCGGGGCGGGCGGGCGGGTGCCCCGAGCGCGCGGTGTGGTCCCGGAGGACGGGTCTCCGGCTCGAGGTGCGGGGCGCCGAGTGCGCGGGGACCGCGAGGCTGTGGCCCCGGCGCGGGCAGAGCGCGCGGGCTCTGCGGATCGGGGTCGGGTGCGGGGTTGGGCTGAAGTTCCCCGTCACCTCTGACCGCTCGGGTCCCGGGGGAGCCCCGGAGCCCCCAGTCCCCGCGAATCGCCTCTACTTGCCCCCCCTTTGTGTACCCCGCGTCTCGCTAGGCTCCTAATTGTGCGAACATTGCCCCGCAGGCACTGGGGGTGTCCCATGGGGGCAGGGGCCAGGCCCACGGTCCCTCCGGACTCCCGGAGCCGCTGGCCTCCCCGCTGCCCTGGGCTCCCTCCCTCCCGCGCAAAGCAGCCACTAATTCCCATGACAAGGGCGAGTTTTGGGGGCATTTATTTATTTATTATTTATTTTTCATGGACGACAACCTGGAGGGGGCTGGGCGGGCTGCCGGGAGCGGGGAGGGGGGCCCCCCAGCCGCTGGGGACCACCAGCCCCTGAGCCCAGACCCAGCTTCCAGGGCTCAGCCGCCGACCCAGCGCTGGGCGGTGGGTGGGGGACCACGCGCTTCCGCTGGGAGGTGCGGGCTCGGCGCGCACACGTGTGCCTCCCGCATGTGCGCCGCTGTGCCAGCGGGGGCGAGTCAGCAGCCCCGGGGAGGGAGGTCGGGGGGCACCGGGTGGGAGCAGGGCCCCGGCTCAGGGGGCCGTGGACCGTGAGCGGGGAGGTTCTGCCTTCCCAGCCTGTGCTTGTGGCGGAGACCCGGGGCGCCCCCAGCCCCCACAGCTCTGCAAACGCTTTGTCCGCACCTCCTGGGCAGAGCCTGCTCCCCCAGATTCTCTCTGAGGGAGCAGGCCCTCGTCCCTCACCGAAAGCTCAGCCCCTCTGGCCACCCTCTCAGGCCCAGGCTTTGAGCCCCCCAAGGACCCCCAGGGGACCAGGTGCCTCCCCAGTTGATTCCTGTCAGCTTTAGCCACCTGCCCGGCCTCGGTTTCCTCACGTAGGGTCCTGGCACCTCCACTGCCCTCAGTGCCAGGCTCTCCTCTCCTCTGCCCCGTTTGGTGCGGACGCCCAGGGGCCGTGGCTGCGTCCCCATGCGGCTGCTGGGCCTCCTCTCCAGCCCGTGCCCTGGCGGCCACTCACTAGCAGCCCATCAGTCCCTGCCCTGGAGGAGACCAGAGTCCGGTCTCCATCCAGGGAAACTGAGGCAAGAGGGGCGTGCAGTTGTTATCCTGTTTCTAGGTTGCTTAGGGGGCTGTCCTGACAGGACGCCCTGGTGGGAGGGGGCCGCGGTGGCAGGGAAGCAGGCTGAGCTGCCGCGGGGCCCCGGGGCCCACGGCCTGGAGAGGATAGCAGAAGGGGGAGGGGCAGCGCTGGGCAGCTGAGAGCAGGGGCTGTGAAGGGAGCAGCCAGGTCTCCAAGGTTTGTTTCCATCCCCCACACCTGCGCCTTCCACACGTGGGACCCGCCCTCCTAAGCCGGGGTGATGCCAGGGAGGGGCTTTGACGGGGTGGGGGGGGGCACTGCAGCAGCAGGCCTCTTCCCAGGGTGAGGCTGGGCCAACTCCTCTAATGAGGTGAATGCCCCGGGACCCAGGAGGGTTCAGTCTCAAAGGTCCAGGCACCTGGCGGTTCCTCAGGGCTCTCTGGGCACCCGCAGGCCCTCAGAACCCCCTGCCCACTGCCCCTCCGTATCCTTGTGGCTGCCTCCCTTCACTCCGTCGCCTCATTGCTCCCTTCCTTCCCAGGTTGTGCCTTTGTCTCTGTGTCCCTGCCCCACTCGCTCCCTGTTAGTCCCCCCACCTCCCCATCCGCTAGGGACCGGGGTCACGGAACCCCTGGGGAGGGAACCCGGCCAAAGCCCCAGGGAATTCATGAAGGGGTTTGGCCACCACCTCTCCCCTCCCCCTCCCCTTGTTTTAAAACTTCCATCACCATAGCAACCCCTTGCTCGCTGAGACTTCCCTGCATTCCCCCTCCTCCACCCGCAGGAAAGCAGGGCCCCCAGTGGGTTTTCTTTCAGGGGTTCAAAGACTGGGACCCTTTGGCTCTGCTGCATGTCGAGGACTGAACTTTCTAGAGGTGACACTGGGCTGGAAGCATGGACAGTGGGTTAGCCAGGGCTGAGGCCCAGCCAGGGCATCCCAGGTCCACCCCCCACAGCAGCTGGACGGTGGCCTGGAAGCCTCGCTCTGCCTCCTGATGCCAGACCCTGAGCGCAAGGTCTCTACATCCCCTGGTCCTGCCGGGGAGGCCTTGCGGGGGGGCTGGGGGGGGGGGCCGGCAGGGCTTGGGTCCGGACAAGTCCATGGCATCAGGAAACCGAGCCGTCCTGGCAGAGGAGCGCTGGGGAGGGAGGGGTGCCTGCAGCTGGGTTCACAGATGCCACTAAATCGGGAGGTGTTGCCTGCAGTTGTTGGAAGGCAGCCGAGGGCCCCCCCCAGCCCCCCGGGGTCGCTGGAAGTGTGGAACCCTGGATGACAGGGGTGCCGTGGCAGGAAACTCCCATTTGTGGCTGAGAAAGGTGGGGCCTGACCCTAGTGAAAAGGAGGGGACAGGACTCCCTTGTGGGATTTCGAGGCCTTGGTCCCACTGACGCTTCCCGTGAACCAGACTCGCCTAAGGCTGCAGTAGGGCCCCAGGGGGACCTTTATTAGCAGGGCACCTGCAGTCAGAGGCTTCCACCGGGGCCTCAGGCTCCATTCCTTGGGGGGGGGGGGGGCATCAGGCTGAGCAGAGTGTGGCCTTGGGCTCTGGGAGCAGCTGGAGGAAGGTGGCAGCAGTGCCTGGGGCAGCCCTGAGCACACCATTCCGTTTCTCTGCAGAGAGAGGGGAGGGCCACGTCTCTAGGGAACCGCTGCTCTGAGGCTCCTGCACCCTCCGGGCCCCAGGGTGGACCTGGGGCAGAGCCCAGTTCTCTGGGTCGCTGGCAGGAGAGCTCCTGCCCGCTGGGTGTTGAGTCTGGGCCACGGGGTGAGAAATGCAAACCCCTTTTTGCAGCTTCCGGTTCTGGAAGCTGCTCCTTGCTGTTCCAGCTCTGGGGCCAGCCCTCTCCCCCGTTGTCTCAGGCAAGTGCTAGGGGCTTGGAGCGCCAGCAGCCTCCCAGGTGGCAGCAGTGGGTGGCAGATGGCAGAGCCGTGGGGGTGGAGGGGACCAAGGCACTCATCCACGGGGGCCCCCTTTCTTCTCTCCCCGCCCTGGGCCCAGGTTGGGGGTGGAAGCGAGTGAGCACAGTCAGGCTGGTGAGAAGCAGCACCTGGCTGAGACCAGGCAGCCCTGGGGGCGGGCGGGCAGATCGGCCCCTGCCCTGCCCACGAGGCTTTAGGACAGGCTCCCGGCTGCCGAGACTGTGAGCACAGTCCTGGGTCCCTGTGGGCACAAGTGCATGTGCACGGCCACAAGCTGGGCCGAGATCAGGGACAGGCACATACGAAGCCTCCCACGCTGTGCGTCAGAGCAGGAGCGGTGGGGTGGGGTGGGGTGGGGTGGGGTGGGGTGGGGTGTGCGGAGCGGGAGGCTGTGGACGGCATTTCAGGGAAGGGCCATTTTGACTCTGAGCATCGGGATGCTTCTAGACAGTCTGTGCACAAGCCACCTGGTCAGAGATCAGGATGAAAGGACGGAGGCAGCCCCGGGGCCGGCACCTGGGGCCGTGGAGGCTGCTGGGCATGGAGGCCAAGCGGGCAGCGCCCACACTCCCTGCCCGGAGGGGACGCTGCCGGGCTGGCCGGTCGGTCACCTGTTGGTGGATGTTTTGGTAGTTGCTGGTTGCATGTTATAAATAACTCTGGCGTGACAATAGGAGACCGATGGGAGCCTGGGGGGAGGGCACTCCTGCTGGAGGGAGCGGTGTAGGCAGAGCCACAGAGCTGAGTGCCTCCCTGTGGCACCAAGCACACGCCTGGACTCCAGCCCGAAGGCGGTCACCGCACACCAGGGGGACCCCCCGCCCCCCGCCCCTTGTTAGGGCACAGAGATGCGCACCAGCAGGGTGGGTGGCTGGGCCTCTGCCGCCAGCTGTGGGAGTGGGATTCCAGCCACACGCTGCCGGTGGCGGCAAGGACACAGTCAGGGATGCTCTTCGAAGCCCGCGCTCCCCTCTGCAGCGCCCCCAAGATGGCTCAAGCCCGGCCTGACTCACGCTGGTGAAAGCGACGGCCATCCCTGAGCCCAAGCAGCCCAGACCAGGGGCTGCTGGCATTCGTTCCCTGATGCTGAGGGCAGATTTGAGGGAGACCTGCCGGGACTGGGGCCCCTGGGAAGCGGGTGGCCCCTGCCTGGAAGGAAGCAAGCAGCCAGGGCTGGCATGCGCTGTGTGGGTCCTGGCCTTGAGCCCCTCTGACCACGCTCCTTCCTCTGGAGTGGCTTCCTCCCTCTGCACTGCCCCGTGGCTGTGAGTGACTCCAGCAGGGGAGCATCTGGGGGGGGGGGGGCAAGGCCCAGGCCCGGCCCTGCGGGCAGCAAGTGGAGGGACGGGGTGCAGCCGGCAGAGCTGAGCAGGTTGGACGCAGCCTCGGTGCAGAGCTCGATGCAGCCCGTGTCCGGGGCCGGGGGTTTTGGAGGCCGACTCTGGGTATAGCCTTTCCTTTGGGTGATGGAGCCAGTCCCCCCAGCACCTCAGGTGCCAGGCCCAGGTGCTGGAATGCCTTGAGCCCACCACAGTCTGCTGCGTGAGGTCACCCTTGTGCCTGGAATCCCAACCCTGGCCAGGGGCCTTTCCCTGGACCTGCAGCGAGCCTTGGCAGGGAGCCCCGGGCAGGCTCGTCTCGCTTTTCCGGACCTTTCCCCCTGCATGGCTCCTGGCAAACCCTCCCATCTCAGGCCCAGCCCTGAGCTGCTTCTCCCTCAAAGCCTCTCCTTGCTCCTCTACCTGGATGGGGGTTCTCCTTCCGGGGACTCCCCCGAGCACTGTACCCGAATGCAGAAGTGATTACAGCAATAAAAGCAATCAGAGTACGTGGTGGGCCGGCACGGCCATGGCATACTCTGCCCCACATTGGGCACCATATGTGCCGCACCAGCTCGGCCATGTTTGGTGAGCCCGAGTGGAGGCGGTGAAGGATGGAGAAAAGACAGGCAAGAGAACGAAAGCTGGGTCTGGGTGGGACGCAGCCCTCCCTGATGGAGAGACAGCGCCACAGACTACAAACCAAGTCTTTATTTTATAGCAGATTCCACGAGGCAAAGTAAGGGCGTGGTCAAGATGTTTACAACGTTCTCCTGGGTTTCGATCCTACTCAACTACATGCACCTGAACTCTATCAAGCCCACATCACTCAGGCACGTGGGGCCACGTGTCCAGACCACAGGTTCAAGCTCACAACCATAGCTGTTGGCTATAATTGTGCTGGGAGGGCTCTGCCCTCCAAGCTGGGACTTGCACGTGGCCATGAGAGGACTGTGCCCTCATCAGTCCGAGGCTTGAACCTGTGCAAACGCCGTAGCCGCGCCCACAAGAGTAAAAACCCTAACAGAAAGTTCCTAAACGAAAAGTATAGACCTGCCCCTCTGACACCAGCTCTTTGCCCCAAAGAGAACTCTCACTTTCCCAGTTGTCCTTCCGGAACAGGCCATAAACTGGCATATAAACTTTTAAAAATGTAGCCCTGGCCGGTGTGGCTCAGTTGGTTGCGTGTCATCCCATGAAAGGTCGCCAGTTTCAGTTCCCAGTCAGGGCACTTACCCACATCTCGGATTTGATCCCCGGTCGGGTGTGTGTGGGAGGCGACCGATCAATGTTTCTCTCTCACACTGACTTCTCTCCTCCCTTCCTCTTTCTCTACAAAAATCAATAAAAACATATTTAAAAAAAAATAACAGAAGTGATATTTTAAAGAAACCTTAAAAAAATTTACCCAAATAGCAGCACCCTTTACCCACCACTCTGTTCCTTGCTGTCTCACTTCACGGCATATCTCAGACTGTCCACAGAGTACATTTCAATCTTCTTTGTTCTTTTTATTTATTTTTAAATATATTTTTATTGATTTCAGAGAGGAAGGGCGAGGGAGAGAGAGATAGAAACATCAATGATGAGAGAGAATCATTGACTGGCTGCCTCCTGCACAACCCTCACTGGGGATCAAGCCCGCAACCCGGGCATGTGCCCTGGGCCAGAATCGAACCTGGGACACTTTAGTCCGCAGGCTGATGCTCTATCCACTGAGCCAAACCGGTTAGGGCTGGCCATAATTTTTATTAACAGTTTTAATTTGAAATATAACAGAAATTTAGGAATGTGTCAAACATGTATGTACATTTTTACAAATCATTATAAAGCTGTGAAACCACCACTTAGGTTCAGAAATAGGCCCAACAGAATACCCACAGGTGTCCTGGTGCAATCACAACCCCTTCTTCCTCTTGGAAGGACTCAAGGGGTTCATTTTCTAGCTTTTCACTGTAGTTCTGCCAGTGTGTTTACATCCTTCAACAGCACAAGTTAGTTCTGCGTTTTGAATGTCATATTGATTCTGTAATTGATAACGTTGATTATAGATTATATAGTTACACACTATATACATGTGTGTCATGTATTTATACTCACTTGTGTCTTTTTCACTCAACAATGTGTTTGTGAGTTTCACCTTGTGGTTGGGTATAGCTGTACCTCTGTCATTTCCATTGTTGTGTAACATTACGTTGTGTGATTATGTCACAATAAATTCACAACATAACAGTATTGATGGATATTCGGTTGTCTCTTGTTTGGGGCAGTTATGAATATTGCAACTGTGAGCATCCGTATATGAGCATCCCTGATACACAAGTGCGTGTGTTTCAGCGGTGCAATTGCGGGTTCATAGTATATATCTGACTTCTATCGTTTTAGCAACTGGTTCCCAAAGGGGAGACTTGCCCTCCACCAGCAGTGCCCATGTTCTCCTCATCTTTGCCAACACTTGGCATCTTCAGACTTTCAGAGATGACTGATGAGTGGGTAGTGCCAGCCCTTGTCATCTGTAAAATAGCTGAAATGTAAAGAAACCACTTTTTGTTGTTGTTGTTAATCCTCAGCCGAGGGTATTTTTCCATTGATTTTTAGAGAGGGGAAGGGCGAGGGAGAGACAGAAACTTCGATGTGAGAGAGACACATCGATTGGTTGCCTCCTGCACAAACCCCGACCCGGGCCTGGGCCCAGCAACCAAGGTACGTGCCTTGACCAGAAGCGAACCTGGGACCCTTCAGTCTGCAGGCGGACGCTCTACCCACTGAGCAACACGGGCCAGGGCTAAAGAAATCATTTGACCCATCTTTTCAGTGTGTACATTACACAGTGACTCCCTGATATGTCCGTTTGGTACACTTTTCATGAGCGGGGCGATTGCCGTTCAGGTATCCAAGCTGAGTGGCCGGAGGGCTGGGCAGACAAGCAGGCTAGGAGCTGAGTCTGACCACCCTCCAGCCCTTCCTGCCTTGGCCTCTGCCTCTGGCGTGGCCTGAGCCAGCTGGGGCCTCCCAGCGGCGACCTGGGTGCTGCGGGGAGACGTGGGGAGCGAGCGGCACGGCTGAAGCAGACCCCATCCTGCCCGCAGCTCAGAGCCTGGCAATGCCGTTTGGGTGTGTGACTCTGGGCGACAAGAAGAACTATAACCAGCCGTCGGAGGTGACGGACAGATATGATCTGGGACAGGTCATCAAAACGTGAGTGCCGTGCTGGCGGGCAAGGGTCGGGGGGAGGGGAGTGGGGTGCAGCCTGCAGCGAGGCCGAGGCTGGGGCTGAGTGGGGTGGCCCCTGCTGCAGGGAGGAGTTCTGCGAGATCTTCCGGGCCAAGGACAAGACCACGGGCAAGCTGCACACCTGCAAGAAGTTCCAGAAGCGGGACGGCCGCAAGGTGCGGAAGGCGGCCAAGAACGAGATCGGCATCCTCAAGATGTAAGTGAGGCCTGGGGTGGGAGGGAGCAGGGCAGGGGCTGGCGGGCAGGGGCCTCAAGCAGTGCGGCCTCTGGCCAGTTAGTCTGCTGCGGCCACAGTGGCACCCAGAGCCTCTCTTAGGGGCTCACTCAGCCCTGACGATTGGTTCTCCTCTCGCTGCCAGGGTGAAACACCCCAACATCTTGCAGCTGGTGGATGTGTTTGTGACCCGCAAGGAGTACTTCATCTTCCTGGAGCTGTGAGTGTGGGCCTGGGGTCCCAGGGTTCTCCCACGCTCCGCCGCCAGGGAGCGCCCCTTCTCGGACCCTCGGGTCCCGGTCTCTGGGTCTCTGTGCCTTGCCCAGCCAGCTACCCGGTGTAGGTAGCCTGCCCAAGTGCTCCTGCCCCACCCCCGGCCCTGCCCACGCCGGGCTCAGGGGCTGGTGTCCCTCAGGGCCACGGGGAGGGAGGTGTTTGACTGGATCCTGGACCAGGGCTACTACTCGGAACGAGACACGAGCAACGTGGTGCGGCAGGTCCTGGAGGCCGTGGCCTACCTGCACTCGCTCAAGATTGTGCACAGGAACCTCAAGGTGAGGCAGGAGCCTGGTCGAAGGGTCGGTTGGCAGCTGGCCTGGGACCCCGGGCCAGCCTCTGAGGCCCGCTCCTCACGAGTCTTTCTCTGCCACCCCCATGCTATTCCTGGCCGGAGCAGCTGGAGAACCTGGTGTATTACAACAGGCTGAAGAACTCCAAGATTGTCATCAGCGACTTCCACCTGGCTAAGCTGGAGAACGGCCTCATTAAGGAGCCCTGCGGGACCCCTGAGTACCTGGGCAAGCAGAGGGGGCAGGGCAGGACAGGGGCGGGGTTGGGTGGGAGTGGCTCTGGGTCGGGAGGAAGGAGGTCCCCAGGAAGGGGTGTGAACGGTACCAGGCCTGGCAGGCCTGATCCTGACCAGCCGATTGGAACTGTGTTGGCAGCCCCAGAGGTGGTAGGCCGGCAGCGGTATGGACGCCCCGTGGACTGCTGGGCCATTGGAGTCATCATGTACATCCTGTGAGTGGACGGGCAAACAGAGGGGCTTACAGCCAGGGGGTGGGGCCTGTGCCATGGCCTTCCTGGCTGACCTGGGCCTCCGCCCCCCGCAGGCTTTCAGGGAACCCGCCTTTCTACGAGGAGGTGGAGGAGGACGACTACGAGAACCACGACAAGAATCTCTTCCGCAAGATCCTGGCTGGCGACTATGAGTTTGACTCTCCGTACTGGGACGACATCTCGCAGGCGGGTGAGGAGGCGCCCAGCATCTGGGCAGAAGGAAGGCTTGGTGCGGGGGACCTGCTCTCGGCCTCCTCTCTGGGCTCTGCTCCTGCCCCGGCCCATCCATCACCTCGAGGTAGAGACGGGGCGCCATGCCTAGCCTCTCCCTGGCTTTGTCCCCAGCCAAAGACCTGGTCACCAGGCTGATGGAGGTGGAGCAGGACCAGCGCATCACCGCGGAAGAGGCCATCTCCCACGAGTGGTGAGCGGGGTCCAGGGAGGATGGGAGGGGCCGGGCCTCTGTCCTCCTCACACCTAGCAACCCCCATCCCTGAGACCCTGAGTGGGGGTTGGGGGCAGCCAGAAGGCCCGCCTGGGCAGAGTGAAGGCCACACTTCAGATGTATTCGCGCCCTTTCCAGGATTTCTGGCAACGCCGCTTCCGATAAGAACATCAAGGATGGTGTCTGTGCCCAGATTGAGAAGAACTTTGCCAGGGCCAAGTGGAAGGTAAGGCCTGGGTGGCTCCTCCGTGGACTGACTCCAAGTGGCTGGGTGCCTAGCCCTGGGGTGATCAGAGGCAGCCAGGGTATCCTGGGGGTGGCCTGGGCTTGGCCTTCGCCAGGGAGTGGACTCAGCTTCCGTAAGCCGCCCTGAGCCTCTCTCTCTCCCCCTTGCAGAAAGCTGTCCGAGTGACCACGCTTATGAAGCGGCTGCGGGCGCCAGAGCAGTCCAGCGCCGCGGCCGCCCAGTCGGCTCCAGCCACAGACACTGCCGCGCCTGGGGCTGCAGGTGGGGCTGCCCCGGCCCTTGGGGGCAGTGCCACCTCAGCCACAGCAGGTGACGCTGCAAAGAGTGATAGTGCAGTCCCTGCAGACCGCAGTGCCACCCCAGCCACCGATGGGAGCATCACCCCAGCCACCGATGGGAGCATCACCCCAGCCACTGATGGGAGCGTCACCCCAGCCACTGATGGGAGCGTCACCCCAGCCACTGACAGGAGTGCCACGCCAGCCACGGATGGGAGAGCCACGCCAGCCACGGATGGGAGAGCCACGCCAGCTACGGAAGAGAGCACTGTGCCCACCAGCCAAAGCAGTGCCACCCCTGAGCCAGCTTCGGCCCAGCCGGACAGCACAGCCTCAGGGGGCGCAGCAGGCCAGGCTCCGCCCTCTAGCGAAGGGGAAGAGGCTGCTGGCTCTGCCGAGTCCCGGAGGGAGGAGACCAGCTGAGTGGGCAGGCTAGTGGGGGGCAGGGACGGGCAGGAGGGTGGGAGAGTGGATGAGGGGCTTTTCACTGTACATAGAGTCACTGGCATGATGCCCTCGCACCCCTCCCCAGCCCCTGCCTCTCACTGTGGGGCATGTCTGGGGGCCACGGGGGAGCAGTCTCGTCTCCCGTGTGTATGTGTGAGTGGGGAGCAAGCCAGAGGCAGGACCGGCCCCAGCCCCTGCATGGATTCCTGTGGCTTTTGTCTTTCGCTAGCTTCACCAGTTTTGTTCCTGTGGGATGCTGCTCTAGGGATACTCAGGAGGTCCCTGCGCCTCTTCCCTTCTGCCTCAAACCCCCCCACCCCCAGGCAGGCCCTGCAGTCCCATTCCCTCCTAGGCCCTAAACTTGGGTGGCCTTGCCCTGAGAGCTGGTCCTCCAGCGAGGCCCTGTCAGCGGTCTTAGGCTTCTACACACGGAGGTATGTGCCTGTGGTACTGGGCGACTCTAGGAGTGGACACAGGCCGGTCCAGGGAATGCAGAAATCTAGAGCAGTATGCTTTAGGACAAGACTGGGCGTGTGGCTGGGGGCACTGCTCGGTAGCTGGGTGGGTCCTCAGAAGTGAAAAGGAGTGAGGAGGGTAGAAGCTTCCATCTTTGTCCCTGGGAAGCCCCTCCCGACACCCTCCCTGCCCCTGGGTCCTGCAGTGGGTTGCGTGCCCTGAGCCCAGGAGCCTGAGTGGGGAAGGAGCAGCTAGGATGTGGCGATGAGAACCGGGAGGACAGCGCAGGCCCAGCACCAGTACACCAGCCTAGCTGGGTCCTTGCCACGAGCCAGACGGGAAGGGCTGATATCCCTGGCTCTTCCCAGACGGCCACCCTCTGGATCAGTTGACGGTCCTCTCCATCCCGGGGGCCTGCAGCATGGCAGTGTCCCACTTCAACCACGAAAAAGAGAGGAGTCCCCCGATGTCTGACCCGCGCCCCCTCCTGTGGGGGCTGAGAGAGGCCCAGGTGCCTCTGAGTCGTGCCGAGTTCCTTTGCCGGGATGAGGAGGTGGGACAAGGCTCCCCAGTTTCCTGATGGAGGCTCCTGGTAGGTGCACTTGTCAGACCCCACCACGGCCTGGGCAGGCAGCCGCACTGGTCCCGGCCCGCTCGGCACTCTGGTGGCGGCCCTGCCCTTCTCCCTGCATGCCTGTGGGTCTGCTCTGGTGTATGAAGATCAGTGGGCGAACTGTGCCTGCTGAACCTGGCAAATAAATGTCACCCTGCCAACGCCTCTGGCCACCCTCTCACCTCTGCTTCCTCTGTCTTACTGGGGAGGGGCCCCCGGCAGGCAGGGGGGAGGGGGGAGGCTGGAAGCAGGCGCACAGGTAGCAGCCTGTGCTGGGGGCCACGGGGCTTGCTTGGCCGAGTGCATCACCCTCACCGGTGTGTCCCTTGATGGTGGTGACGGGTTCCTTTGGACTGTAACCCACGTGGGTTGGACTTGTGCCAAGGAATACCCTCTGGGCTGCTGTCACGACACCTCCTATGTAACAGGGAGTCCCTGGTTTGCCCTAGTTGGTGTGGCTCAGTGCACGGAGCGTCAGCCTGTGGACCGAAGGGTCTCGGGTTTGATTCGGGTCAAGGGCATGTACCTTGGTTGCAGACTCCTCCCCAGCCTGGGCCCTGGTCAGGGCGCATGCAGGAGGCAACCAACCCACGTGATTTTCCCACATGGATGTTTCTCTGTTTTCCCGTCTCTCTTCCACTCTCTCTAAAAATCAATGGGAAAAATATCCTCAGGTGAGGATTAAAACAACAACAACAAACACCCCCACAAAGAAGTCCTTGTTTTAACTTAGGCATAGAACTGGAACCCACCAAAAGCCGACCACCATGGACAGAGACCCTGCCTGTAGCCAAGGTGGGCTTCCCTGGGCTGGGGAGAGGTCCCAGGCTGGGCAGCGCACAAGGGTTCTAGCTGCCCTTCGTGCAGGTCCTTCTTCCTGGGAGCAACACCCGAGCTTCCCATTGGGCCCAGAGGGTTCCGAGTCTCCTTCGGGCAGACGAGCCACCTGTGCATCCTGCAGCTCCGTATGGGGCGGGGGGGGGGGGGGGGGGGGGGGGGCGGGCGGGGTAACGCTGCTGAAATCAGTTGAGTGACAACTCCTGGGAAGACCTGTTCCATCCCCTGCCGCCCAGGGGGGCTCACCAGGGAGGCCGCTGACCCGCAGGGAAGACCCAAAGGTAACTGATGTGATGTGGAAGGAAGAAAATGGGGTGTGTGAGTCACTGGTCCATGGAGCATCCGGGCCTCCAAAATTCCAACGCGACTACCGACAGGTCAGGGGCATAACCGATCCTCCGGGCGCGAGGAGCAGCCGTCAGGGTGCTGGCCCTGCGCCTGCAAACCTGGGGGCCGTCCGTCATGCGGGGTGAGGACCCGTGTCCATCTTTCTAGGACGACTCTACGGCCGAGGGCCGGGAGGGCGGGGCGTCCTTTGGGTCTGTGGGAACTGTGGGCTTCCAGCGCGCGGGCCATCACTACCCGGAGGGCGGCGGGCCCGCTCTCCACGGGGACTGTCGTCCCATCCCCCGGGGCCGCGGTCCTGACTCCCCCGAGGTTCAGGGGAGGCTGCCATGAAGGACCAGGCCAGGGAGCCCGCGCCCGGCGCACCGCGCAGCAGCTCTGATTTGCCCGAAAGCTGCTCCCGCTCCCGCGCTGCGCTCTGCGGTACAATCACCTTCCCGGGAGCCGCCGCCGCGCTCCCGCGGGCTGGTTCCGGCCCGCGCTCCGCCCCGGGATTCTATTCGCCCGCAGGGTCGCTAAACCCCGCCCCCCCAGGGTTCGTCCAATCCGGACTCAGCCTTTAGGCTCGGCCTCCATGTTTCGCGTAGCCACTTCCGGTCCTACCCCGGAAGTCGCGCCGTGGAGCCAAATTTGAAGGGAGCTGAGACGCGGGGGCGCGGCCGAGGTCTGCCGGGGTTTCCTTGGCGACCCGGGCCCTGGAGTCCGGTGACCATGCCCATCCGCGCGCTCTGTACCATCTGCTCCGACTTCTTCGACCACTCGCGCGACGTGGCCGCCATCCACTGCGGCCACACCTTCCACCTGCAGTGGTGAGTGACGGCTGTGGGGCTGGACGCTTTCTGCCGTCCTCCCGACAGGAGAGTGGGTGTCGGGCCCCCGCCGCCCGGACGGGCGCCCCACGGGAGGTCCCGATCTGGGCGGAGGCGGGTCAGGGAAGGAGGTGACAGCCGAGCTGGGCGCGGGGGCACAGAGTCCGTTCAGGGAAGACAGACCACGGGCTTGCACGACGGGCTTGGCGGCGAAGCGAGGCGACTTCAAAACCCTCAGCCCGGGCGGAGGTGAGCGTTCGCCACGTTGGCGAGCCCTTCGGCCTCCTGGGGACGGACGCCTGGTGGGCCCCTGGCCGCCGGTCTGTGTGGTTTGCTTGGCGGGTGGAGTGTGTGCAGAGGCCGCTCTCTGGTCAGACACCCCGTGTGTTCACCGACCGGCAGGACCCAGTTACGTCGCAGGGCGAGGAGGTGCGGCCCGATGAGCGGTGGTGCTGCTCGCCCTGCGCCCGCGGGACCTTCACTGAGCACAGCTGGTGGGAGCGATGCCCGATGCCCGATGCCCGGCAGCTGTGGGCAGGCTGGTGCAGGGCCCCTGTGCGCCTTATTTCTTGTGGTGAAATACACAGAGCAGAATTCACCAGCGCAACCATTTCTTTCCTTTTTAAATTTTTATTACTACATACCTTTTTATTGTAATAAAAGTATATAACATAAAATTTACCATTTAGCCATTTTTGGACTGTTACGCAGTTTATTTAACAACAACAAAAAATTCAGTATGGAAAAGTACATGACTCGATTTTAAACTAGATCCTTTGCAGAGGGGACATGAGGAAGCAATTGATTTCTCTGGTGAACACAGCCATGGTTTCTGCTCTTTCTAAGGCTTCTGAGAGGGTAGTATTTCCTCCATTTTAATCTTGTTCTGTCGCCTGCTAGTTGCCATTATCTATCCATACATGATCTGCCACCAGGTTCCTAAAGGGATCGGATTCCGGCAGGATTCCTTGGGCATGTCTGCCACCACCTAATTTCAATACCTTTTGTCCATCGTTTTTCCAGCTTGGGAGGGTGAGCCTTGCCCATGGTGTTCACTTGGTGAGCTGAAAGACGCCGTTCGTTTTAACCATTTTTAAGTGTACAAGTCAGTGGCATGAAGTACATTAATAATTCGGTGTAACCATCGCCACTGCCTATTTCTAGAGCTTTGCCATCATTCCAGGCAAAAAACAACAACCCGCCACCCATTAAACAATAACTCCATCCCCCTCCCCAACCCCCCTGGAAAGCTCCATTTTACCTCTGTCTCCTGGAGTTTCCCTAGTCTAGGTGCCTCATATAAGTAGAATCATACAATGTTTGTTCTTCTGAGTCTGGATTATTGCACTAAGCATCATGTTTTCAAGGTTCCTCCATATTATAGCATGTATCAGAATTTCACTCCTTTTTATGACTGAACTAGAGGCCCAGTGCACAAATTTGTGCACAAGTGGGGTCCGGCTGGCCTGCCCCAATGGGGCCCCATTGGGCCGGGCCAGGAGGGCAGGAGATCCGGGGGGAAGGGGCTGCGGGCGGTTGGCCAGTGGGCACCGCCCCCGACCGGGATGTGGGGGGCCAATCAGGGCCCAGATCAGGCTGGTTGGCTGCTGCAGTGCGCATCATAGCCACTGGTCATTCCGGTCATTCCACCTTTCCAGTTGCTGGGCTTTTATATATATAGATAATATTCAGTTGTATGGAAATACCACATTTTGTTAATCCTTCATCTGTTAATGGACCTTGGTTGTTTCTGTGTTTTGGCTGCTATGAGCTGTACTACTATAAATGTTGGTAAGCAAGTATCTGCTCGAGTCCCTGCTTTCATTTCTTTTTGGTCTGCCCAGAGGTAGAATTGCTGGGTTTTATGGTAATTCTATATTTAATTTTTTGAGAAATTGCCTTACGGTTTTCCGCAGTGACTGCATAATGGTTCCGATTTCTCCATGTCCTTGCCAACACTGGTTATTTTCTGGTTTGGTTTTGCCTTTTTTTTTTTTTTTTAATATTTTATTGATTTTTTACAGAGAGGAAGGGAGAGGGATAGAGTTAGAAACATCGATGAGAGAGAAAGATCGATCAGGTGCTTCCTGCACACCTCCTACTGGGGATGTGCCTGCAACCAAGGTACATGCCCTTGACCGGAATCGAACCTGGGAACCTTGCAGGCCGACGCTCCATCCACTGAGCCAAACCGGTCAGGGCTGGTTTTGCTTTTATAATAGCCATCCTAACGGGTGTCTTCTTTTTTTAATGTGTGTTTACAACTACCAGTTTCCCTCTTAGCACTGCTTTTGCTGCATTTCATAAGTTTGGTATGTTTTCATTTATTTTAAAGGATTTTCTAATTTCCCTTGTAATTACATCTTTACCCATTGGTTGTTTAAGAATGTGTTGTTTAATTTACTCGTAACTGTGAATTTTCTATTTCTTTCTGTTACTGATTTTTAGTTTCATTGCATCGTGGTAAAGAAAAATGCTTTCTGTGATTTAGATATTTTAAAACTTATTAAGACTTGTTTTGTGGCCCAACATATGGCCTATCCTGGAGGATTCCGTGTGCACTTGAGAAAAACGTGCATTCGGCTGTTACTGGGTGGAGGACATGCCTGTTAGATCTGGTTAGTTTATTTTATTGTTCAAGTTCTCTCTTTCTTTGTTGATCATCTGTCTGATTGTTCACATATTTTTGGGCTCTCTGTTTAGGTGCATACGTGTTTATAATTGTTATTTCTTCTTGGATTGAACCTGTTATCGATATATAAAGTCCTTCTTTGTCTCTTGTAACCTTTTTTTATTTTTTTAAAGTCTATTTTGTCTGACAATTAGGTAGACACCTCGGCTCTCTTGTTGTTATAATTTTTTACTTATCCTGGTTGGGATTCATTACATTTCTTCCATTTGTGGAATGATTTTTTTTAAAAAATATATTTTTTATTGATTTTTTACAGAGAGGAAGGGAGAGGGATAGAGAGCTAGAAACATCGATGAGAGAGAAACATCTACCAGCTGCCTCCCGCACGCCCCCCACTGGGGATGTGCCGGCAACCAAGGTACATGCCCTTGACCGGAATCGAACCTGGGACCCTTCTGTCTGCAGGCCGATGCTCTATCCACTGAGCCAAACCGGTCAGGGCTGTGGAATTATTTCTTTAATTAGCTTTGGGAAATTAAAGTGATCATCTC